TCCACTCCGGACGAGCCTCGCGAGGTGCTGCACCGGTACTACGAGAGCAGGTCGGCCGCTAAACTCCAATGCTGCTCCTGGGCTGCACTCTCGAGAGGCGGGCATGCCTTGGATCCCCCTTGTTGTCGCATGCTGCAGGGCACGTATCGGCCAGCCGCTCAGCATGTACCCCCCAGGGCGACTGCTGTTTTTGCGGCCCATCAAGACGCGCCAGCACAAGGAGTTCGACGCAGTGTGGATCACTCCACAAGATCTTGTTGGTGAGAAGCCAGCAGCAGGCTCTGTGGACACCAGGACACCAGGCAGCTTCATGGAGTAGTAGTTAGCTTGGGCAAACAAATGATGCACTGAACCATTGCAGCGGAGGGCCTCCTCATCTCGCCCAACATGCTGCGCGACCACCTGTGCTCCCAAGTGTACGAGTCGCTGACGGCAGCAGCAGCGCACGCGGAGCAGCTGGAGAGTGGGGCAGGCAGCCCAGAGCTGGTGGACGAGGTGGGCGCACACCGCCGAGCCACCGCTGCCCCTGCCTCCCCTGACAAACAGCCGAAGCGCCCGGCAAGGGTGCGACGCCAGCAGGGCCTCCAAGCAGGGCGCGCAGGCAGCCTTCAGCAGGTGCTGATCGAGGCATCCTGACCGTGCATCACCGGTGGCGCCGGCGCCAGCGCTGGCGCCGGCGTTTCGCCGGCTTGACCCACGCCCCCAGAGCACTGATATGCGCCCGCTTTACCACACCTGTTCTGCATGCCTTCTTCAGCCCATTCGTTTGTAATGGCCCAATGGCTTGCGGCAGGGAAGTGGCCCTGAATGCTGCGCCCGCCAGCTACCTCGCCATCAACCGGCAGAACAACAACAATTGGACTGATCTCAGCCATTTCAGCATGTTGGTTCGGTGTCTCTTTGCTAGGCACGGGCTTTCCACAGTTCTATATTTTCAATCTCAGCCAAACTCCACATTGTCAATCAGCCGCACGTTGCCGAACCGAGCGGCGACCGCGATGAGCACGTGCCTCCCTCGCACATCCCCTGCCAGGGGCCGCAGCGTGTGGGCATCCACCACTTCAACATAGTCCTCAAGCCCGCCGCCCGCCGCTATTTGGTCCACAATCTGCTGCTGCAACTGCGCTGCGTCAGTCGTGGTGCAAGCGCATGCCTGCTCCCGCGCCTGGGTGAGCGCCCGTGAGATGCACACGCAGCGCTGGCGGTCCTCAGGAGCCAGCAGCGCATTCCGGCTGCAGAGCGTGGGGTGGCCAGGCCATGACATGGGCAGCAAGTCGGTCGGAGGAGGGGCCACACATAGGGGCCAATGCACAGCAGCCATGCCCCAGTATGCGCATGTGGGCAGATCGCCCGCCGCGGCTGGATGCACCTGCATCCCTGCTGCTCCCTCACCCCCCAACCTGCAGATGTTAACACATTCTGCTTACCTGCTCATGGCCAGCCCATCTGGCTCTCTCAGGATGGGCATGCCCACCACCTCCACCGCCATGTCCAGGTCCCGCACCATACGCTCAATCACGCGCCACTGCTGGTAGTCCTTGCGGCCGAAGAAGGCAGCGTCCGGCTCCACGATGTGGAACAGCTTGGCCACCACCTGCGCTGGCCGGCGGCCGCGGCACGGCGCACAAGCAGGTAAGGGGGGTGGCAGCTTGCTGCCAAGGGCATGCGCTGCTGACAGGCGCATTGCTGGCAAGCCTTCGGCGCGGCCCACCGTGCAGACGCCTCTGAAGAAGTGTGGCCGCGTCTTGGCGCACAGGCCCTGCGACAGGTGGTCCAGGCTGACCCAGGTCTCGTGTGCCTGCGGGTCGTACCCTTCACTTGCCCCAACCACCATGCCCGTATCCGAGCTGCTTCCGCCATTGGCGCTGCTGCCTGCGTGGTACAGGGACTGCGGCATGAACACTGCCGCACACCCTGCCTCTGCCAGCTTGCGAAGGTCCTCGTCCTGCAGGGCACGCGCAGGAGCAGGCGCGAGCTGCTGCAGCGGAATGGCTGGCACCATCCTGGCGCCAGGAAGCGGCGTTCAGCCAGAGATCGGAGTCCGTGCGCTTGCCTCGCTGCGCGGGTACACCCCAAAGTCCTCGTTTCTGGAAAACTGGGTGGGATTGACGTAGATGGAGGCCACCACCACGTCGCAGCGCTCCCTGCGCAATGCAGAGAGAAGGAGGGCAGCGTTGGCTGGGCGGTGGCGGCGGGTGGCTTGGCGGGCGGCCGGATCACATTCGCACTCTCGATCGCCTTCCCCCACCTCGCAGCTCGCACTAGCGAGATGTGGCCCTCGTGCAGGTAGCCCTGCAGGCCGCGGGCCACATGGCGCGGACATCCATGGGAGCGCAGGACATGAGGGCGGAGCAGCCCAACCTCTGCATTGATGTGGGCTCACCATGGTAGGCACAAAGGCGATGCTTTTCCCCTGCTGCCGCTGCTCCCTGCTGAAGGCCCGCATTGCAGCAGCGGCGTGGAACACATGTATGCTGCCCATAGCAACCAGGGAAACTCCCAACCGATTTTGGAACGCAGGGAAGTCATTGCCTTGTGCATTCGGTGAGCCATCATCCGGGTGGTTTCCCATGCAGGGCTTTGCCCTTCAATAGGGGCGCCCCCAAACTGCAGGCAAAATCTGTTGCAGGACTTCCCAGACAGTCCCAGCATGTTGGGCACGCAAAGTCAACCGGTGAATAGGTAGCACTGCCCTGGGGATGCAGCTCTCTTCAGCGCTCTGCTGACAAGCCGCCGCACATAGGTGCTGGAGCAGTCGCATGCCGGGGCGCCGGTGTCAGGAAGGCTGGGTGGCCAGGGAGGCAGTATGCCTTGTAAAGTGTGAAATTTCGATGTCTCAAGTCAGCAGTCCACGCACGAGATGGCCGTGTGCTACTGCGGCGGTGCGGTGGCGGCAGTGACTGCAGGCTGCAGGAAGGCTAGGGAGATGAGGATGGCCTCCTCGCTGCGGATGGTGCGGCTGCCCTGGTCGAAGCACGTGTTCAGGTACCTGCAGCCACAAGCACCCACGCTGCTTGCGGCAGATCGAGAGGCCGGCGCCCGGCAGCAGCAGAACCTCTATTGCCCTTCTCTCAAACACAAGTGCTGCTGGCTTGCCTGTCAAACAGCTCGCTGGGACAACCGTGTTTGTTGGCCAGTTCATCGTGCTGCAGCGCATACTCCAGGCCCTGTGGCCCGCCAAACACGACCAGCAGGTGCCGAAAGGCGCCCAAGTCCAGCTGGCAGGCTGGCGTGCGCTCGCCTCGTTCTGCAACAAGGCAACAAGCGGAGTGCAGCATGTGCTGTTGCCTCGGCGTGTGCGAGGTGGGTGCAATCGCAGAGAAGGCTACAACCACAGAATCAAAACATTGCACAAGGAACCCAGTGCCTTACCCGAGGTGCCCACGGTCAGGCTGTAGCCGCCGTAGAAGGGGCACTGTTCCAGCATGGCCTGCAGGCTTGGCGCGATGCGCGTGATGTAGCCCCAATACAGCCCCCCCCTCTCTCGTGGGTCTGCACAGGCAGGATGGGCGTGCAAGCTTATGTGATGAGGCCATGCTGGATAGCAACGACAAGAAGGACATCATTACACGTGCTGGGCATGGCGTAAAAATTGCCACCAGGCCTTGGCTAGCGATTCACCTGTCGGCAGTGCTAGCTGCCCCCGCAGCACCTGCTGCCCCTGCACGGTGGCGGGCAACGGCTGTTCCCCCATGCTCAGCGTCAGCCGCACACCCTGCCGCGCCGCCTGCAGCCAGGCCGCAAGGCATGCACGGTGAGCATGCAAGCCATACTGAGCGCCTGCAGCACTGTGGCCCCAGGGATGCCAAGCCCTACCATCAGGCTTGCCTGCGGGATGTGTGCATCTTTGTCCAGGCCCACATCAATGAACGACCCTTCGCCCTTGGCACTGCGCCGCACCACGCCCTCGCGGTATGGGCCCCACTCAGTGGATCGCAGATGGTGCGGCGCATCCAGCGGCGGCAGCACGCCCGCATACTTGAGGTCGGGATGCATGGGGATCAGTGCCCTGCAACAGAACAGCATGAGGCAGCCATGGCAGGCAGGCATCAATCGCGGATGGCCAGAGCAACACGGGCAAGAGCCCTCTCTGCACCACAGCATGGCCACAGGGGGCCCGTGTACCACAGCTCACTTCTTCAGGTACTGCGGCGTTTCCATGAACTGCAGCACGCGGGCAAAGAGCGCGGCGGCGCTGCTGACGTGGCCGGGCTGCTTGGCGGGCGAATCGTCCAGTACCACCACCTCGTCCACGTTAAAGATCGCAGCTGCCCGCGCTATCTGCCCAGCCAGCAGCGTGGCCAGCTCCAGGTTCTGTGCATTCTCGATGCACGAGGCCGCCACGGCGATGGACACCGTGTAGCCGCGTCCGCTGGTAGAGGGCCTGTAGCCCGGATGGCGGCGGCGGGGCAGGCGGCGAGGGGGCAGGCGGCGGCATTTTGATGTGGCCGGCAGCAGGGTGCTCTCTTGTGCTGGCAAGGCTCTCTATTGCCAGTTGATTTGTGAGTGGCCCGGCGGTTCGCCCACATGGCATGCCGCACAAAAGGCGTTTGCAAATGCATTTCCTCGGCACCCACGTGCAAGACTCCTCTGCACATGCAAGCTGCTTGGGCTTCTTGGATATGGTGCCATTCTCCTGTTTCTCCCGCTTCTTGCTACCCATAATGCAAACTCCAGAGATTGCGCTCTACCGGCGATCGGGGATCCAGGAGGTAATGAGCGGGACAGACCAAGGTGCCATGCAGAGCGGCATGCGGGTGATCCTAGCTGGTCCTTGCTGGCAACCCCCGCTTGGCAGTGCCCCTCCTTGCCTCGCCTCCTTCCAGAGAGAGTGCCCCAGATCAGCAGCTCGGTGAGCCATGGTGCACCCCGCAAGGCAAGAGCTCCTGGCAGGCGAGCACGCCCACTACATCCACGCCTTCAGCGAGGTGCGCGTGGGCATTGGACAGGGTTGTTCGCTGTCGTTGTCATGCCTGGGACAGCGCAGTAGTTCGGGCTCCATGGCTGATCGCCACTGAACAGGAACGGTTCCGAACGGTTCCTACTGCCACTGCCCTGAAGGCACCCAGGTTGCCGCTCATCAGCACGGCAGGAGCCGTCTCTGGCCCACAGTGTGCCATGTGGCGGCCATGGGCGGGGGCGGCGGCAGCGGGGCACATGTGTTTCAGCTGAAAGCATCGAGCCCCGTCTCCCCTCCCCTGCAGAACACCACCAGCTTCGAGTTCTACGCCACCGAGCACTTCCGCATGAGCGGAGTGTATTGGGGCCTGACGGGGCTGCACCTGTTGGGGCGACTCGACCTGATGGACCGTGGCAAGGTGGTGGCCTGGGTGCTCCGCTGCCAGCATGAGGGTGGTGGATTTGGCGGCAGCGAGCGCCACGATGCGCACCTGCTCTACACCCTCAGCGCGCTGCAAATCCTGGCGCTGTATGATGAGCTGCACCGCGTGAACGCAGACACAGTGGCGCACTGTGAGTGCCACCGCTAGGTGCTGCGTCGCCGATGCCACAAGCGGGCAGCCATGCCGCGCTGCTGACCTTTTCATGGGCCCGGCCGGTGCCTCCTCTTGTGCTGTTTCTTACCTGTTGCCTCTGCTCCCCAACGTCCTATGGCCTGCAGATGTGTCGAGCCTGCAGCAGCCCGATGGCTCCTTCTGGGGCGATGAGTGGGGCGAGACAGACACGAGGTTCTCCTACTGTGCGCTGTCCGTGCTGTGGCTGCTTGACCGTCTTGATGCCATCGATGTGCAGCAGGCGGCGCGCTACGTGGCAGCCTGCAAGAATTTCGATGGCGGCTTTGGCTGCACGCCAGGTGTGCTGTGGCATTGGTGGCGGTCGGGTGTTTGCAGCAGACAGCGCTGCTGCAATGCCGTTTGCTCCTCCTTTTGTTGAGGACGTTGACTTCTTTGCCTGCTACAGGCAACGAATCGCACGCGGGCCAGGTGTTCACATGTGTAGCAGCGCTGGACATTGCGGGGCGGTTGGACCTGGTGGATGCAGACCTGCTCTGCTGGTGGTGCGTTATGCTGCTGCTCCCATCGCTGCAGGGCACGCTGCGGATTCAGGCAAACGCCTGAGCGCAAGCTTGGGTGGTGGTTGGCAGGGGCAAGCAGGCAAGACGGGGCTGCCCCGCAGCTTGCACTAGCCTGCCCACCTCCCCTCTTGAACTGCACCGTGTAGGCTGTGCGAGCGGCAAACAAAGAGCGGGGGGCTGAACGGGCGGCCTGAGAAACTGCAGGATGTGTGTTACTCGTGGTGGTGCCTGTCGGCGCTGTCCATCTTGGGGCGCCTGCACTGGATTGACCAGCAGGCACTCACAGACTTCATCCTGGACTGTCAGGTGGGGTGGCAGCAGTCAGCGTCCCATTCCTTTACGCATGCGCCATCAGTATCCCCTTCCTGCACGATTCCATGCACGCATCTGCATACAGTTGATGTCAATTGGCTGCCGGGCTGGCCACTTGCAGGATGAGGACGGCGGTGGTATCAGCGACCGGCCAGAGGACCAGGTGGACGTGTACCACACATTCTTTGGCATTGCGGGGCTCTCTCTGATGGGACGGCCAGGCCTGCAGCCCATCGACCCCACCTTTGCGCTGCCGGTTGAGGTGGTGGACAGGCTGCGGCAGCGGAAACAGCAGCATGAAGGGCAGGCGGCAGAGGCAGAGCGCAGGAGCAGCAGCACAACAAGGGAGCTAGAGTCATGATGGTGATGAAGCTGCAATGAAAGGCATGTAGTATACAGGGAAGTGTAAAGGAAGACAGACAGCAGGAAAGAAGGTGGCAGCAGAAAATTTGCAGCAGCAAAGGTAGCACTAGTACACAGAGTTGAGCGCAGTGAACCTCCTCGTCTACTTTCGCTTCAAGCCCAGCAGGAACACCTCTTTGCTTTCGCTGCGCGTGGCCTTGGGCCGGTGCCATGCCACTTTTGCAAAGTCCCGCCGCAGCTCAGCTGCAAACTCTTGCGTGCCTGCAGGCAGGGCAATTGACAGCAGGTGAGCTCATGTGTGTGGCCTCTAGATCCGGCCGCGTGTCGTACGGCAGCCTGGTGCATCGAACAATTGGCAAGCAGCTTACCAGGACCCTGCAGCAACTTCATCAACAGGGTGCCGCCCGGCCTCAGCACCCCTCTGCTGAGGGTTGCATTGGGGTATGCTGCCTCGCCGCCGGTAGCTATGGCCCAGGCGGTGCGGGCCAGCTCGAGGGACTTGTAGGCATCTGCCATGCTGTTGCCTAGCGTGAAGTGACCTGCGCAAAGCGCCCAGCTGAGCGATCGGCATGCAGCACAGCTTGGCATGTTCTTCCAGTGCAGACATCCAGCCAGACCAGCAGGCTGCATCCTGAACAGTCACTCACACATGTCTGAAAGGACTGCATCATAGCCGTCGGGGGCTTGCTCCTGCCAGAACTCTGGCGGGAGCAAGGTGGCATCTGCCTGGACAATAGTCACACGCTCGTCACACTTGGCAGGACGCTTCGTCTCCTGCACTCAAAAGGGCAGCCGCAGCGATGACATTGCGGGCCGGAATGCTTGAGGATAGGGAGCCGTAAGATGGAACATTATCAGCAGCTCACAGCAATAACAACAGCAGTGCAGTATACCTGCATGTCGATTCCAAGGATCCGGCCGCCTCTACTGGGCGGCCCTAGCGATTCGCAGGCCACCTGCAGCCATGCGCCTGGGTGGCAACCGAGGTCCAGTATTTGGCCGCCCTGGGGTATCAGTTTGTGCTTCTGCTGTATTTCCAGCAGCTTATACGCGGAGCGAGCGACGTAGCCCGAGGCCTTGGCCTTCTTGAAAAATGTATCCTCTAGTACCCGTCCAGTCCTGCAAAGGAACTGTTGACGCTATTGCAAGAGGAGGTTGCAGTGGGCGGCGGCCGCCGCGGCAGCGGCCTGCCGCCCAGGGCGCGTGCACGCATGCCGCCTAACGTCATTTTCAACAAGCCTGAGCAGGTTGGCAACAGTCTGCCGCCCGTGGTGTATCCCTGCCATGAGCATTGCTGCACCTGGTGACGCGAGCTCTTCCGGACATGATCTGCCTGCTCAATGACGAGTTCCCAAATTGGCGCTCCTGCCGCCTGACACAGGTCTTCCTCCATTTGGAGGACTCTGGTTGCCCTGCTGGCCCGCCAGCAGAACTTCATGACAAGCTAAATTTAACGCTCTCCCATTCTTCCCTATCTTCGTCTGTGTGTGGGTTTTCAGGGCAGCAGGCAGGGTACCTTTTACAACAGTAACCCCGGCTTGAACACCCCAACCCAGCTCCCAATCCCAGCTGCATGTGTTGAATGAACCTGCTTAGGCAGGCAGCGCGCGGCTTGCTTCCACGCACGTTTGCCCGCCTCTCCGAGGCTGGTGGGGGCACCTGCGAGGCCCACCAGCAGCTGCTCAGGTCAAACTTGGGCACCGTAACTCGAATGCAGCAGTGCAGCAACCTGGCAGCAGGCCAGCCAGCACGGTTGCTGCCCGCCGCCGCCAGCGCCGCCACCTGTGCCGGGCGCCTGCCATCACCCCCTCTGCCAGCAGGATGCAGCACCAGGGCACGAAGGCGGCCATTCTCCTCAGCTGCAGCTCTGGGTGATGACGGCACCACAGAGCAGCCCTGGCTGCAGGGCTGCAGCTCTGCCCGCTTGCAGTCGCTGCGGCTTGTGCCAGCTCCACAGCAGGGGCGTGGTTTGCGGCTGGCGCCACGGCCCCTGCACGCACTCTCGCCCGCCTGGCCGCAGCAGCCTGGCGGGGAGGAACCTCGCAACGGCCAGTACCGCGGCTACGCCAGCCAGCCGTGGAAGTTCTGGGGCCTATCTGGAAGCAGCGGAGATGGCGAGGGCGGGCTTCGGCCACCAGAGCCGCTTCCAGCGGGCATCCCTAGCGCGTCGCACGAACGAGAGCTGAAGGCGGTCAACACTGCAGTGGTGGTCAATGCCCTGATATTTGTGGCAAAGATGTGCACCTGGGCAGTCACTGGCAGTGGGTGCGTGGTTTGCCTGCATTTTCAGTGGTATGTTCTGCAGTGCTGTGCCCGTCTCAACTGCGGCCCTGCTTACCTGGCCTTGCCGCCCTGGCTGCAGCGCGCTGTTGGCAGAGGGCCTGCATTCTGTCGCTGATGTGGCCAATCAGCTGCTGCTGAAGCATGGAGTGATACGATCGCGGCGCAAGCCCACGCGCGAGCATCAGTACGGATTTCACAAAGAGAAATACGTGTATGCTTTAATATCAGGTGCGGAGTGCACAATGAGCAAGGATATCGAGTTGTAGTTAATGATGAATGGGGTGGCAGATCGAGTTGCTGGACAACCCTTCGTTGTTCTGCTTCCATTTTTGCAGCCGCATGCGTTTTCTGCGTTGGTTGTGGTGCCTCGGTGCTGCATGGCGTGAGCAGCCTGCTAAACCCACATGCTCTGGAGAATATGGCGCTCAGCCTGGCAGGTGAGGGCGCGGGTATGAAGGCAGCTGCCGGTAGCATGTGTGTTTAACAGGGTTCAGTCCAAGATGCATTCATGCTGCTGCTGTCTGCTTCAGCGCGGCCTTCCTTGGCTGCCCACCCAGCCACGCCTCATACGTATCTTTCTGCACTGCCCTACTTGTGGTGCAGTGCTGCTGGGCAGCAGTTTCCTGGAAGCCTACTCACTGCGTGTGGCCTTTCAGTCCATCCAGCTCAGTGCCGAGGAGCAGGGCATGGGGCTGTGGCAGTACATTAAACGCGGCAGGGACCCCACGACTGTGGCCATCCTGTGGGAAGACGGCGGCGCCGTGGCCGGCCTGGGGCTGGCAGGTGGTCCAAAAACAATTCTTGCACTCAGCATGCCTGCTCCTGCCTGCTCAACTCCTCATTCCTACATGGCAACCTCACTCACTTTGTGCCCGAGTGCATTGTCCCGCTATGCAGGCGGCTTCACCCTGCTGACCTATTTCACAGGGCAGCCGCATTGGGACGCCATGGGCTCCATTGCTGTGGGCTTGCTGATGGGCGTCATTGCACTGCAGCTCATGCGGACCAACAAGCGTTTCCTGATCGGTGCGTTTTCGCGACAGTCAGCCATGCGGGTGCTGCGGCTGGCAGGTCATCATTTGCAGATGGCACTGTTGTGCAGTCTTGCGGCCGCGTTGCTTATGGTGTTTGACTGTGTGGGTGTGTGCAGGCCAAGCAATGGAGCCTGCAGTGGAGCGCAGCATCGTGGATCACTTGAAGAATGATAAAATGGTGGTGAACGTGATAGATCCGAAGAGCGAGGAGATGGGCGATGGCGTGTTCAGGTGATGGTGCTTGCAAAGTCAGCCACTGCATCGGTTGCATGCGCACACAACGCACAGCTGTGCCGCCTAAGTATGGTGGCTGGTTATTTGTTGTATGTAAATCCCTCATTCTACATACTGCTTCCTGCAGGTTCAAGGCTGAGATCCAGTGGAGCGGCGAGCATGTAGTGCAGAAGTACCTCTCTACGCTGCAGCGTGATAGCCTGTACAAGCAGATCCGCAGCGCTGCCTGCACCACCAACGTGGATCAGCAGACCATGGAGGATGCCATCGACATGGCCATGATGGACTTTGGTGAGCGGCATCATGGAACCGGTTCCGAGGAAAACAAGCATCACTGCCATGCCATGCGGGCTCGAGGCAGCATCAGGAGCCGGGATGCCTGGCACGCCTCGGGTCGGGCAGCTACATGTCTGTCGGGCTCACCCACGTGCCCCGCTCCATGCCTTTTTCGCAGGCCGGGGCGTCATCAGAACCATTGGTAGTGAAATTGACCGGCTGGAGGGCGAGCTCAAGGTGCTGGTGCCGGGGCTTGCTTACGTGGATCTTGAAACAGACAGAGGTGAAATGAGAGGCATGAGTCTGATGGGCAGCGTGGATGGCATCCTGGACCCCTGCCTTGATATGGGCGATGTGCAGCGCCTATACGAGGATGGCGTCGCCACCGCGCAGAACAGCACGGGCAGCGCTGCAGGAGGCAGCGGCCAGGCTAATGGCCCCATTAGCAGCACGCCACCAGCTGCATAGCACCATGCAACCAAGCCGCAGTGCCATCAGCTGCTCAGCCTTCCGCTCTGGTGCCACCCATTCTGCTTGTTTGGTTGTCCCCTCATTTCAGTTGCCCCTTTTGTTGTCACTTGTCCAATAATGATCTCTGCATTTGATGCCTGCGGCAATGTGGCATCTGTCAATTGTTCAATATAAAACGATGTGCGACTGGCATCATCAACAAGAAAGATAGCAGTGCCAAAAGCGCATGGAGAGCAGCGACATCAAGTTGGCAAGTCGAAATGACGAGGTTGGATGGCAGAGAGGGTGCCAGAGCCGGGTGGCAGATTTGAGGACCACAAAACAGAAGAACGACTTGGTCGCCCTCGCCAACCTGGCTTTCCTCAGGCCTTGTCTGCCGAGCTGTTTGAGGCCACGCGATGCAGCACACCAGCATCGCCCTTCAGAGGCTGCAGCTCCGCCGCACTGCCGCCTGTGGCTGCCAGGCTAATGACCCGAGGCTGCAAGTTTTCTCTGAACTTTGCTATTTTGGTGTGGCTGCGGGCAGGTAGTGGACCGGGGGCGGCAGTGCGGACATGAGTTTGTGGCATTCAGGCTTCAGAAGGCACTGTTCAGGATCAGGCAGCCTGGCAAGCGGACAAGCAAGCAAGCAGGCGGCAGGCAGCGCACCTGTACAGCGCAAACCCAGTCATGGCCAGCACGCAGCCGATCGTCATTTTTACTGTGAATTCCTTGCCCTCGCCCAGCAGCATGGCCGACAGCACCAGCAGTCCCACAATCTTGACCTCCCCCAACACCGTGGTGGTCACCGCACTGGTCTTCTTGATCATCAAGCTGTGAACCATGTTGTAGCACACGGCGTTGACCGAGGAGACCAGGATGATGAAGCCGGTGCCTTCGTAGTGTGTGGGAAGGTAGACCAAGAATTTGTCGCGCTGCAGCAGAGGGCACCAATTCATCCTCATTCCTTCATTTCATGTTCAATTCCTCTCCACCAACAGCTGCACTGCGGCATCCAACATACAGCGCCACCAGCCAGCACCGCATGGCCCGCACCTCGTACATCCAGTAGAAGGGCGCCAAGCACACCAGGCTAACTGGCGCGGTGTAAAACGTCAGCCGCACCACGTCCAGCTTCTCGGAGAGAAGCTTTCCCGAAAAGGTCATCATGGCGCCATTGCACACGGTGCCGACCAGGCAGAAGACAATGGCATATGGCTTGCCGCTCACAGTGCCCTGCCACACCGCCAGCATGACGCCCGACGTCAGCGTGATGAGCGCCCACAGCTCCTGGCCCGTGGGGTAGCGCGACTCCACCACGATGGCCAGCACGCAAGTCACCACCGGGATGGCAGACCTGCCACCAACGTGGGCGAGGGCCAGGCAGGGGCAGGACAGGGCGCGCAGGTCAGAGCAGGACAGGTTCTGGCCTGAGCAGTGCATGGCATACCAGGAACAGTGCTGCAGGCCCTTCACCTAATGATTTGATTGAGGGTGAGCGAGATATCCAGCAGCGAGATGTTGTTGAGCGCAATATTGAGAGCCATGAAGGCGCCAATGTACACCACGCCCTTCCACTGCTTCCGTAGTGTGGCACGGTGATGCTCCCATGGCTCCCGCAACGCCATGGGGGCAAGCACGCAGAAGCTAAACGCCATGTGGCCTGCGGGCGGACGGCATGTGTGGTGCAGCGGGAGCAGGAACAGCAATGCTTGCGAACTGGTGGCTGGAACACGCCCCCCCCCCCCCCCCCCCCCCCCGATTTATGTCCAACATGGCGACCCCATGTACAGTGCTGCCAGCCTTGCTGCACTCACATGATGTGAGCAAGAATGGGAAGCGGAAGCCATACACTCCCAGCGACCATTTGTTGAGCAGGTTCAGGGAGGAGTTTAAGCTGCAAGCAGGAACAAGGGAGGAAGAGTTGCATGCTTGGAGGTGTAAGAGAGAACGGGAAAGGGAGAATGCAATGAATGCAATTCATTGCATTCTCCCTTGGCGTTGAGGCGCGGGGCGGGTGGTGGCGGGTGGGGCGGCGCTCACCTCAGGTAGAGCACCACGAGGACCGCGAAGGACAGGGCCTTCATGGTTGTTGGCTCCCCCATTCTGGCCTTGTGCACCAGGCGCTTCCTGCTGCCGCCCGGGGTGTCTGGGGCGTTGGTTGGAGTCACTTGCGAGTCTCGGTTCCTTCTGCTGCTGCTGCTGTTGCGACTGATGGCACCCCACAGCCCCTGCAGGGCCGCCAGGTTGATCGCTCTGCCCAGTTAAATAAAGGGCAGCGCGCAGCCCACTCCTCTGAGCGTCGGACCTCGGCCTGGCGATGGCCGCGCGGGATGGAGGCTCCTACCCTTGGCAGCGGCTAGGCGGCGAAGGCAGGACAGTTTGGGAGTGTGCAGGACAGTTTGGATGGAGAGCGGATTGAGGGTTTGGTATGCATAAATCGACCATTGCCAGCCTCCACATACGAGCAAAAGTAAGCGCACAGGCCCAGCGGCAGTGGCTGTCACCCTCTGCAGCGTTACAGCTTTGTGGCTCAGCGCAGCGAGTTCAGGAACAGCACGGTGATGGCGCCGATGGCGATGAGCACCGGCGCGATGGAGACGAGGTACAGCGCGCCGTACCCCACCCAGTCGGGCAGCTGGTCGGCCATGCCGCGGGGCTGCTCGGTGGGGTCGCGCCCCATGGGCGGCCGCACCTCGCCCTGCTGCCGCCACGCCGCCGCCGCATCCTCGGCCGCGGGTGTCAGCGCGCTGCCGGCGCCGCCCTCTGCCGCCGCAGGCGTCTTCAGCCAGGGGCGAACTCCTGCATCATCGGTTCAGAGCGCCGCGCCCGTTGAATGGTGGGTCAGGCACCTTCAACGGACAGGGCAACAGCAGGGCAGCAGGTAGGCGGCACGCCGCTGGGCAGAAGGTAGGCTGCTATGGCCGGGTGAGCTGCGGCGCCAGAGACCCACAAGACACGAGCAATCAGCAGCAGGCTGGTGCCAACCCGCAGGCCCAGGCAAACCGCTTACTTGCGGGCTCGTCCAGGGCTGGCCATTGCGACATCTCCTTGCACAACTCACGCAGCGCGATGCGGTCTGCGGGGATGCGACCCTCGGAGACCTCCATCAGCGCCGCTGCCATCTCCTCGCGGGAGATGCCGCTGCTGTCCTGCAGGCCAGGTGGGCATGGGGGGCCGAGCAGGGCCTGAGGGCCTGAAAAACCTGCGCTCAGCGCCATAATTGAGATGGGGTGTGCAGCATGCAAGTCAAGGGGGCCGGCTGTCATTGCAAGGTGTGGGTGTATCAGCAGGGCTGCCTCGAGGGCGCTCGTCAGCTCCGAAAGATGGTTAACTTTGCATCAATCATCCAGCAACAGCCCCAGTGGCACTGGTAGCAAACAGCGGCAGCAGGGTGCAAGAAGCATGCAGGACCAGTGCCATCTGCGCCACATGCATGGCCGGCTGCTTCTGTGGAAGCCACATGAGGGAAAGTAAGGCTTTTCCCCTGGCACGTGTGGCACCACAACGGCCGCAGACAGCACCGCACCTCCATGCCCATGAGGCGGCGCTCCCGCGCGCGCGGGTCCTCGATTGCCACCGTCAGCCGCACTTCGTTCAGCGACATGTCTCGCTGCTCCTTGAGGGTGCGCAGGATGCCCACCACCTCGCGGCACATGCGCTTGGCCTCCTGCAGGCCCGAAGCGGCACAAAGCGGCATATGAGGCAATGGGGTGGGTGGGCTGCAACGCGTCGGACGCTCCCCACCACGTGTCCGCTTGATTGCCGCCGGCTCGCATCACGGCTCTCTACCACTCACCTCCTCTGACACCTCGTCTGCTCCCAGCACCCTGCCGGGCTCCACCTTGCGCGCCGCGCTGCCACCCTCAATCTCCGCCTGCCGCCGCATGAACGCCTCCACCTGCGCCTCCAGCTCCTCCTGCGTCAGGTCGCTGTCCATGTCCATGGCCGCTACCCTGGCCCATTTGGACGAAGCGAAAAGTTGGTGAGCGCGCCGCAGAGGCCATTGCCAGTCTTTGCCCCCATGTCTCCAACGCCACCCACCTCAGTGACCTTTGCCGCACCGGCTGCCGCTGCCTGATCACTGCTGCTGGCCGGCCAGGCTGCCAAGAGCAGCTCGCCACCACATGGGCGCCCGTCTGCACGCTACTGCAGCTGGCTAGGGCCTGCATGGCTTTGCGATGGTAAGCGGACAATGCAGCGGTCGGGACGCCCCCCGGGGCTGTGGCTGTCCAAGTTGTGAGTTGGATAGCGTTGGGAGGGTGAGAGTAGCAAGGCGGGGATCCTGCACGATCGTAGACCCCCTTCGGCACGCAGATTTACGCTATAGAAGAAGAAGAAGAAGAAGAAGAAGAAGAGAATACGCGGGACGCGTGATTTGTACTTCGGCCGTACTGGGAGGAAACGGGGTGTCAAGCCCCTGGCTCCCGTGTGAAAAACAACGAGGGGGAACAAAGGTGCAGGTCAGCCTGGATCGATCAGCCGCCGCCTCTTGGCCGCCGCTGCCCGCCTCCCCGCCACCCGCGCCGGCGCCACCGCTGCAGCTGCTGCTGACGCCGCTGCCGCCACCGCTGCCGCCGCCGTGGCCGCCCCCTGCCCCGCCGCTCCCCCTCCCCACCCCACCCTCGTCACTGCGTTCACTGCCGCTGCGCCCGCGCGGCGCTTCTCCTGCCTGGGGACATCCTGTGGTGCCTGCCGTTTGCCGCGCCGAGTCGGCGGGCGATCCGCTGCGGCATCGTTCTGCCTGCGCCGAGTGCGCCTGTCTGCTGCGTCTGCTGATCCGTCATCGCGCTGCCGCCGCCGCCGGCTATAGCTAGCGAGGAGGCTTTGAGGGCCATTGTCCCATGCACCGTCTATCTCGCCGTACGTCGTGCATTGGCTTCTTCATTCGCTGTGCGACTCGATGTTGATCTCTGCTCCTGGAAATCGGCACAGGGAGGGGGTCTGCTGCCTGCCGGTCGGACCTAGAAGGCAGGCAGCAGTGCGTTTCACCCGGCTTGCCGCCGCCCTACATAAACACTGTTGACGACGCTTGCATTGCTCCTGCAGACGCTTGCATTGCATCTGAAGAGTTGCTGCTGCTGCGTCCACTGGTGCGGGCGGGGTACCTTCATGTGAAAGGGAACGCGTTCAGTAGGCGGTCGGGGCGCCGGCGGGTGGAAAGGCGGTGGCACTACAATGCAATTCTGTTCAGCTCGGCTCCTGCATGCGCACAACTAGTACTGTAAGCAATGTCGGACGGCAAGAAGAGAGTTTTAATAATTGGTGGAGGCTTTGCTGGAGTTGTGGCCGCTCGGGAGCTGAGTTCAGCTTTCCATGTGCACTTGATCGACCCAAAAAGGCGGGTTCCGCAGCGTGACAGGGTGCACATCGAAGGGGCTGAAAGCGGCTAAGATTGGGGATGGGAGAGTATTGGGGGGTGAGGTCATCTTGACATCATTCCGGCCTCTCAAATGCGATGATCAGAACATTGGCATCAGAATATTGCGCTGGCGAAACCGCCTGGGGCGGCCAAGCACACTGGCCACCGCTGTGCTGTTGGCGCCGCTGTTTTGTTACCGCTGGCGCCTCGCAACCCTTGGCAACACAACAGTTGAAACCACACAATCCATGCTACTGATTCCCACCTGCAGCTTTTTCGAGATTGTGCCCTGCGCTGCGCATGCCCTTGTGAGCCCGGCCAGTGCCTCCAAGTCACTAATCGACTTCCCCGCCTCCAGCACCTGGTCTCAGAAGCAGGGCTTGATAGTGGGTTTGCAGTCCGATGGCACCAGGGGAACGGCAACCCTGCAGGTCTGGCAGCAGTGCATGGAAGGGTGGGGGAACCCTACTTCGTAGGCGGTACACTTCTAAGCCCCCCATTCCCATCCGCCCACCCAGTCCCATGCACCCGCCATGCAACCACTCACCAACTCGGCTGCAGAGTGGCGAGACGCTTGATTTCGACTATGCGCTGCTGTGCACGGGCAGTTCTTACCCATCCGGGGTCAAGCCCGATATGACCAAGCTGCAGGACAGGGCTGTCAGGCTCAAGCAGTTTGTCGACATCCATGCCATGGCAAGTTCGGGCAGCCGGTAGCCTGCTTGAGGTTGGCACAGCTCATCGGTCCATCGTTTGATGAGCATCATTGGAGCATGTGCCTGCTTGGTGACCCCTGATGCAGATAACTGCTGCCAAGACGGTGGTGGTGGTGGGTGGCGGTTCGGTGGGCGTGGAGGTGGCTTCTGAAGTGGCTGACGCGTTCCCTGACAAGAAGGTCACGATCGTGGCAAGCGGCGACCTGCTGGATCGCATGGCCCCCTCTGCACAGCAGTATGCAGAGGAGTGGATGAAGAAGCACAATGTGGAGGTGCTGACAGGGGAGCGCATCAGGTATGGGGCTGAGGGTGCGGGGGCGAGGGCGGGATCCGCAGGGCTGATGTCAGTGAATACAACAATTTGTGTGCTGGCCAACTGCCGCAGTGATTGGGGCGGCCTGGACGACAACATGCCTGCCGCCGCCACTCTGAAGACCTCCAGCGGCCGCACTCTGGCCGCAGACCTGGCTTTCAAGTGCGTGGGAGTAACTCCCGCCACCGGCACCTATGCAGCATCCCTGAGCAGCGAGCAGCTGGGCCCTAGAGGCGCCATAGAGGTGTATCCCACCCTGCAGGTAAGTGCTGCTGCTGCCTGCCAGCCCAACTCCAAGCGTTGGGCCTTTGCACCTGCTTCCATCCAGCATTTAAATCCAGCAACTGTCAATCACTGCTCACTTGGCACAGGTCAAGGGCTGGCGCAACGTGTTTGCTGCTGGAGACTGCAACAGCATTGCAGAGGAGAAGACCGCGGCGATGGCTGGCCTGTCTGCACTGGCGGCAGCTGGAAACATCATTGCACTCGACAGCGGCAAAGAGTTGAAGCCTTACTTTGAGCGTGAGCAGGGGGGGCCACTGGTGCGGGAATGGTGCCTGCCCTGTGCCTGTGAAGTGTGGCACCGGCCTGAGCACCTTGCCTGTCTGCAGGCATCTTTGGGGGTGTCAAGCCACCAGTGTGTGGAGGCACCAGCCTGGGCAGCCATGAGGGCGTAATGCAAATGGGGCCCCTCAACGTGCAGATCGGGAAAGCGCCGGCGACAGTGAAGGTGCGGGCTCTATATCGCTCCCTATGCGGGGCAAACCTGGGCCTGAGTGTTTTGCTGAGCCGTCGCTTCAGAGAGGACAGTTGCAATCGACGAGGAGACATATGGCCGCAACATGTTGCAGGGCTTCATCACTTGGATGTTTGGGCGCATAGTAGGTGGCAGCAGATTCTGGGGTTTTTTGTATCGCCGCATGCAAAACTTGATGGCGTCCGGGATGGCCAAGGAGGCACGCAGGGTGGCTGCCGCTGCAGCAACCGTGAGCGTGGCGCCGGCATCAGGGTGAATGTGCACCCACAGACTGCTACCCCTGTATGTGTTGTATACACATCCCGCCGTGTCTTTTGTATTGTGTATTGATGATTGAAACAATGCAAATCAACAGAAACAGCAGAAACTGTGGTAAAAGAGCAGTAAACAGCATCAAAGGAAGAGCCAAAACCGTTGGGTGGGAGGGGGTGATGACTAGTTATTATCGCACCACGGGGTAGATGATGTGCTGTTGTTGCTGCTGCTGCTGGGACGCTGGGGGGTCGCCCCGCATGGCCTTGCCCAGCGGCACAAGATCCAGGTCATTGACGAGGATGAGGGGTGAGGTCTCGCGCAGCGCCTCATCATCCGCCGCGCCGCTCAGCCGCACCACACACTGCCCGGTCCCCTCTGTCAGCCCTGCCTTGGCGTCCACGCACATGCTGATGTCCAGGCCGGCGCGGCTCATGTTGGCATACCAGGTGCGAAAGCGCTCCTCCAAAGGCTCCAGCGCCTCGGGCGTCATCCCCTGCAGCCAGCCCCGGGCACAAGACGAAAAGGCGCAGCCAGTGAGTGCGGCGGTTGCGCCAAGAAGCAGAAGGGAGCTGAAGGCTTCCCACCACCTACAGCTGCACATCCAACACAACACACCCTGTGACAACACTCTCCCCTGCTCGGCCTCGCACCTTGAAGGCCAGCAGGAAGTTCTTGACCACGGCGTGCGCCAGCCGCACCATGCCGCCCGGCCTGCAGCACAGCGAGGGCAGGTGTGCAGCAATACAAGGTGAGGGACTGCAGGGAGGGACCGGCAGCAGAAAGCAAGGAAAAGGCAAGGCCAGCATGCGTGGATGGACTGTCAGCTTGAGCCACTTGGCGGGCCGGCCTCCAGGTGAGCAAGCAGGCAATGCGGCCAGCTCACGTGACCAGGCTGACAAAGCCCAGGCTCTGCACGTCAGCACGCAGCCGGCTGATGTCGCTGCTCTCAAACTGCAGCAGATACTGGGTGGGAGGCTGGTCTGCCGCCGCGGGATCTGCAGAGGCGACGAGGAGGGAAGAGTGGTGAAGTTGGCCAGACCGACACAACTGGCCAGAAGGCACCGACAAGTCCCGGCACGCCACGGCCCAGCCCATATCAGACCAACACAGACCATCCACCGCCATCCACTGCAACCGGCTGCTGCAGCCTGCCCCTGCATGAGGTGACTCACCCGTCGGCGCCATGGGCGTGAAGCCCAGGGTCATTACGTCGCCCAGGTGGCCCAGCAGCCGCCCTGCCGTGCTCACAAAGGCGGGCCCCATGGAGGCAGAGTCGATTCCGTGCAGGATCTCGCCAATGCGCCGCTCATCCAGCCGCACCCGCACCTGCTTGGCGTGAAGGCAGACAGGCGCGACAGCAAGGGGCAATGGAATCAGCAACTGCTGTCGGCTGGAGTGGCCCTAGCTGCAGGCACGTTGCAGGGGCTGCACGCCAGGCAGTTGGTGCAAAGTTCGCCGCCGCACAGGATGATGGTTGTGCCTGCCTTCCTGCCCAGCGGCTGCCACCCACCTTGAGCCGGTTGACGATGACGCGGCCGAGGCGGTCGCCCACCTTGGTGCGAGGGCAGGACAGCACCTTGTCAGGCTCTGCATCCTGCAAAGAGCAATCGCCAGAGACACGGCCCCGATGGTCCAAAGGGCGCGAGTTTGGCCACAAAGCAGCGAGCAGCAGGCAGGCGCAAAGAAAGTCAGGAACGCGCGGCGGCGGCGAGCGAAGCGACCCACCTCTGCCTCCAGGCCCTGCTCGGCAATGCGCTCCGCAAGCTCCACCAGAACGCCGCGGATGGCTTCCAGCGCACCAGACACCTGCCTCTGCACTCGGGCAGACCGCGCACAAACAAACGCATGCTCAGCGGGGCAAGGGACCGACACATTGTGCAATGCCGGCTGTGCGGCAGGCGGCAGGCAGCACAGGCATGCTGCCTTCCCTCCCCTGCCCATACACTGCCCCCCCGCCCCTTTCCAACCCACCCGCATGGCCTGATCGATCGCCGAATCCCCGGTGAGCGGGATCCAGTTGATGGCCTGGGCTGGCGGGCGCAGGTGTGAGGGGATGACCAGGCTCTTGAACCCATCCACAAACTGCACAAGAACAACAAGCGTGTGTGTGTGTGTGTGTGTGTGGTGTGTGGGGGGGGTGGGGGGGCGACAGGGCGAGTGGCTCAATAAATGCCCGCCTCCTCTCTTGTAAACGACGTAAATGACGCTGGCTGCAAACGATGAGCAGCAGGCAGAGGAGGAAGGGCCAGGTGCTCACCACGCTGAGGTTGCCCTCGGGGCTGGGCAGCGGCAGCTCAAAGGAGAAGGCGCCATCCGGATCCAGCTGCATCGCCACTGGCAGCCGCACCCGCAGCGGCCCCTCGTAAAACGCATTCTCAAAGCCTGCGGGCAGGGGCAAAGGCATTTGCTGGCATGAAGCAAGCGCCGCACCAGATGCGCCGGGGCCCACCGCCCAACCAGACGCGGTGATGCGCCCACATTCGGCAGAGCGGGCATGCAATCCTGCCCAGCTGGTCAAACGCAATGCAGCGTGGCAGCCGGCGGCGGTGGGGCGCACCCAGTGAGAAGCCGCGCACATCGCCCGCGCCCAGCAGCGTGGCGGCTGCCCCGCGGAACTTGGACTTGAACAGATCCAGCTCGCGCAGCATCCACGAGTGCCAGGCGTTGAGCACCTCGCGCTGCTCATCCAGGCTCTCCTGCAGGCGGGAAGGTGGGCAGGATGGGCAGGGCAGGGCGGTTGAACCCATCATTCCCTCCATCTCTCGCCCAGCACCTCCGCCTCCAGCAGCCCGCCCAAAACCCATCCACACCCAGCATACAATGCCCACCACGTGGTACTCTGGGTTGTCGCGTGTGTTGGCAATGGGCCCCTTGATGAACAGCTCCTCAAGCGTGCGCTGCAGGTCGGGCAGGTGTTGGCTGGGCATGGGGCAGGGCAGAGGGCATGCGCGGGATGCTTGCTGTGTCCTGGGTGCTGTACAGTGCTGTGCTGTGCTGTGCCGTGCTGTGCTTGCCCACCTGTGTGTAGTCGTGGATCATGTTGATCACGCCATCCGCATTCACCCCCACATCCAGGTTGCGCATGATCACCCTGCACCAGGGCGCACCGGTGGGGGCTTGGTCAGCAGGGCGCAGAGATGAAACCCCGTCAGCGGGCTGGCATGCCATGGCGGAGCAGGGCAAAGCAACTGGACCCCCGGCAAGTTGTGTGCCACAGCAGCAGGTGTGGGTGCGGCCTGCCACCGTGCTCACCTGGCGCGCGCGGGCTTGCGCCGCACCCGTGTCACTGCTCCGTCCATGAATGCTCGAAAGTTAAACTCGCCGCTGTTGCCGCGCAGTCGATGTGCCACCACCTGATACGCTGTGTTCCAAACCTGCAGGCGGGAGGGAGGGCAATTGCATGCTGGTAACAAAATGGTGCAGGCAGCGCAGAGTAGACCTTGAGACAATGTACACAGGATGCCACGGCATGGCCGACCACGAGCCCTTGCTGTGCTCTCCTCGCGACAGACAGACAACCTGCTCGCCTACCTGGCAGATATCGTCAAACAGCTGCGGGTGACGGTCCCAAAAGGCCTGGAAGGCAATCAGGTTCTTGATGGTGGCGGGGCGCGGCGGGTCCAGCAGCGCGCCGCGCCCGCCAAACAGCTCTGCCAGCACCTGCGCCTGCGGAAGGCTCAGCCCTGCAGCATAGCAGAGACTTTGCTCAGAGCAATGTCCCTTGAGCAACTCAGGCACGCACTTGCTAGCTGGGTGCGGTGTGTGCAGGGCAGAACAACAACAGCAGTTTCGTGCGTAAGGCGCTGGCGCTAGTGCTGAGTACCGCCACGCACCCAACATGCTCCTCGCCTCCTTGGCTGCCGCATACTTCTGCTGCTGCTTGCGCGCCTCCTTGGAGCTTCGGGCGGGACCGCGAACCTGCAGGAAAAAGCAAAAAGCACTACGCTATCAATCTGGCCCACTGCATGCAATCCTCAGCACACGCCAGCGCTCGCCTCACCTCAAATGCCAGGTCCGCATCCAGCACCTTGAGCCCCGGCCCCACCACCGCCACATCTGCCGTCGCGTCAAAGCCGCGCTGGGCTGCACAACGAGCAGGGCAGCACCCACATGCATCAGCATTCTAATGCTCAGCTCTTGCAATCCACTGCTCACTCCAGCTTGTGCCAGGGAGGTGACAACAGGGTACCGACAGCCTCGGCAACTTACAGCTCTGCCGCATGGAGGAATCTTCAAGCCCACCCACCTGTCAGCATGTACTCCCCAAACTCCTTGGGGAACAGCGGCAGGATGCGGCGCTGAATGATTTCCGGGATGAAGACGCGCAGCAGGTGCTTCACAAGGGTGCTGGGCATGGGCACGTTGTTGCCCTTGAGCTTGGTTGCCAGGTGCTGCACATCAAACAGGGGCTTCTCCGCCTGCCGCCACCCATTGCTCTTCCTGCGACCAGTATTGAGCAGGGGAGACAGGCGGCCTGGGGCGGGGCGAGCTACAAACTCTCAATACATGTCATGCTAACTGGCTGTCCCGCTCACTTATCATACTGGAAGACAAAGCGCACAAACACGTCTGCTTTCACGTCGCCCTGCCCAATGCTGCATGTAGGGGAGCAACAGACAGATACAAACAGCCCACCGTCAGCTCTTAGCTTGCTCTGCTGTCGCTCATCATTGACAGGATGTCCTCCTGCTGACTTGCTAGTTGTTGTCACAGCGAAATCCGCACCTCAGGTTTGGGCACTTGGTGCCACGCTCCCCAGTCAGCTCAAAGTCGTTCACACGCCCCGTCACAAACACGCCCTGCTTGGTGGACCCAGCTGGCAGCCCCTCCGCCTGCACAGCCAGAGGCTCCCATCGCAAGCGGCAGGAAGCAGGCAGCAGGCTAGGAAGCTGTACACCCAGCAAGCACCAGGCTGGCAGATTGCCTGCACAGGTTCCCTGTGCCCCTGACAGCCAGCCGCCCACCCAGCAGTTGTGCTGCAACCCTGTTTCCATCCCGCCTCACCATCTCAGCACCCATGTCGCACAGCGATATCACGCTCGAGGTTTCATCCAGTGCGCTGCCGCCATCGCCGGCGCCACCCATGCTGCCGTTGTGGCCCCGCAACCAGCTGTTGCCGCCACGGCTGCTGGTGCTCCTGGTGGGGATGTCGCCAGGTAGCGAGCCCATGCTGCCGACCGCATGCACGCCGTTCTGTGGCGGTTGCTGTTGGCTCTGGTAAGCCTGCCGCAGCACATCGTGAGTGAGTGGCGAGTTCGGGCCTTTGCCATCCGCCTGAACCTCATCATCGCTGTCGTCATCCGATGCCAGAGACCCATCCCCCTCATCGTGCACCTCGACAGGGTGGTGCGCGCTGCTGCCATCCTGCTGCTGCCCCGCCTCTGCACGCAGGCGGACGGGTCAACTGGTGGTCAAAGGAACCTGGCCGAAACAGTCACGCAATGCCGCTTCCAGCATTGTGGCCAGCCGTTCAAACGGCAGCAGAACGCGGCAAACCCACCAAAGGCGTCATCCTCCCCTACCACGCTGTCAGAGTGCAGGGAGGCCTCCTCCTCGTCGATCGCCTCCTGACGTGGTCTGCAGCCAGGCGTGCCGCAGCGCAATAGGATGGGTGCTCTAGATGGCGATCCACAGGCAAGGACAGACGATCTGTTCACTGCACTTGTCTCAAGGGCCCACCAGGCCGCCAAAAGCCCCACAGCCAGCTGCTCCCAGCACTCACCTTGGGTGTTCAGTATCCTGGGATAGCTGGTGACTGCCAAACGCCAGGCGTTCAAGGCTGCTGATGCTGCTGCCGACGTCGCCGCTCCCAAGCCGCGCCTTGCTGCGGTTCATCAGCTTGCCTGCCAGCGTGCGCTTCCCCTCCTTGCCTGCCGCAGCCTCAATGTCCTGGCTGGCAGCGGGCTGCAGACAACACAAGCAAGCACAAAATGCACCAATCAGCGGCAGAGCTGCAGCATCACAAAGCACTGGCGGCAGCCATGGCCCCCGCCCACCTGCAGGAGGCCGCCGCGTTCCTTGGACTGATACTTGTCTTTCTTCTTGCCTAGCCGGCTGAGAAACCGCAAGGCAGCATTCTTGCCCTTCTGCTCTTTCCCGGGAGACGGCACCTGATGCTGCTCCTGGGTGGCTGCACCCAGCTGGCTGCGTGACTGGCTGCGCGAGTTGGCGGCAGCTGCTGCCTGTTCCAGGAGCTCGGCGCTGCCGGCAGAGTCCATGGAAACTGCCGAGTCTGGGATGGAGCGGGTCTCTAGGGAGCCAGCGCCGCCACGTAGGGTGCCGACGCGGTCCTGCAGTGGCGGCTTTGGCGGCAGCACTGCCGCTGGTCGCTGCGGCGGCAGCATGGGCGGCCGGCTGCTGCCACCGCTGGCTGCACTACGCGATGTTGGCAGGCTGCCGTCCTCCTGCTGCTTGCTAGCTGAGCCGCTGGGAGCCGGGCGCAGCGGCGACGGCGACGGCGGCGTGGATGCTGCTGCTGCTGCGCTGCCTCCTGTGCGGAAGCTGCTGCTGGTGGCGAGATGTGACGATTTGCGACTGAGCTGCGCCCGTAGCGCCGCTCCTTGCGCCTGTGGCCTGCAACAGCACACGGTAGCTCCCGAATCAATCAAAGGCAACCTGCCAGCCAACGACCGCCAGTAATACACTAAATACGGGCCGGTCCGCCCTACCCCCCTTGAGCGGACCGGCCAGCCGCCTCCCTGACCCCATTTCCCCCGCTCCCAGCCTGCCCTGCAGCCGCACCTGTGTGCCTGCGGCCCCTCAAACTGCATGATCAGCCGTGCCGGCCGTGTGACGGTGCCATCGGGTGCCATCCCCCCCGGCTCCCCCCGCAGCGTCACAAAGCCGTTGATCTCGGAGATGTCTATGTTCTTGCAGGCACCAAAGATGCCGCCGCCGCCAAAGTTGATGCTGCGACGGGACCAGCAGGGCGGCAGGAGGCAGGAGGGAGTGAGGCACGCAGCCGAAACAGCAGGCGGGGCCGCTTCGCCAGCGGCAAACCCTTGCCACCAGGTGTGGACAGGTCTGCAGGGTCGTGCCGGCAGCTGACGCACGATAACGCTGTCTGCTCACAGGCGCACTGCCACCCAGCTTCCTTACGTGTAGCCCTTCACTCCTGGGTAGTAGTACTGGTACTTTGCCCGGTTGTACTTCACCCGCGTCTGCAGCAGCTGCTCCTGCAGTCGCTGCAGCTGCGCCGCGCCAGACGCCTCTGCCGCCGCACGCTCCGCTGCCACGCGCTCCGCGTGCTGCCGCCCCAGAAGCTCCACCTCAATCAGGTTGATCTCGTCGCGGTACACGCGCTTGGTGTCCTGCTTGGTGGCACAGGAGGGAAGTGCCCGTGGCTGAGCGAGTCACCCCGGCAGTACAGTGACCCTCCCAATCCCATGCATAGCACATCTGGCCTGCCCTGGCCACCACTGCTTGCAGTACCCTCCCCCCACCGGGCCTCTCTTGTCTGCCCGCAGCTTGCCCTAGCCGGCCGTTACCGCCGTGCCGCACCTGCAGCGCCACCAGCTGCGTCTCCCAGATCTCCTGCTCCTGGTGCCGCCCGCGCCCCGCGTGCCGCGTGATCTCCACCTTGGCCTGCTCCACCTGCTGCCCCAGCACATCCAGCGTGTCCACCAGGCGCTGCCGCTCCGCTCGCAGTTCCTCGGTGGGCAGGCTCTGGCCGTCGGCGCCGGTGCGGGCGCGGATGACGTTGAAGCCGGTGCGGACAGAGGGGTCGGCGCCTGCCACGGCGCGGCTGGCCAGCGCGTCCACGCGCTCCTGCAGCGCCGCCTCCTCCCTCATCAGGATGCCCAGGCTCTCCTTGAGCGACGCCGCATGCTCCTTGAGAGCCGGCCGAGCGCTCGTCTCATATGTCTGCACCGCAGCCGCCTTCTCGCGCTGTGCGGCCGCCGTCAGCTGTGCCGCTCGCGCGCGCAGCGGGCCCAGCGAGTCCATGGCGGCCGCTGGTCACGCCCGCCGGCGGCAAGGCAACAGCTCCTGCACCGCCACCAGCCACCCGCCCGCCCGCCGCTGCCCGCGGCCCTGCGGGGTTGAGGGTGTGCAGGTCTGCCAGGGGCACCACCACCGAGCCAGGGGTGCGTCAGGATTCCCTCGCTGCAGCCATTTCCACACTGCCACCAAATTGATCTACTCGCTCTCCGTGTTGCTCACTGCACCCCACGGGTGTCTGTCAGCGAGCTGCCGATAGCAAAGGTGATGGAGGTGATGGAGATCGCAGGAACGGCTGCAAAACCATCGGGAGAGGGCCAGGGGAATAGGGCGGCCAGGCAGGCGCAGAGCCACTGAGGCGCAGGTCGATTGACCTCTGGCCTGCATTTCGCCTCACTCAATGCGCAGATCAGGGGCCCTGGCCCTGCGCTAAATCGCACGGACTGGCTCCACCGGGTGCTTTGCCGCCGCTCCCGCCCGAAGCCCTCTTGCCGCCAACAGCAAAGAACTACCCCAAGCCTTAGCAAGTCTATTGACAGATTACAGGTGCGAAGCGATACATTTATCATAAAATGTCTCCCCGACAGAAGAGGGAATTAAAACTTGCAGGGGTAGGCGTCGGAAGCCATCAAACAACAAACCGAGAGAGGCGGGGTGGCCTGGGTTGGGCGGCTCGGAGCCGGAAAATTTTCGGAAGAGGGAAGGAAAACGGTGGATTGGTTGAAATTGGGGCTGGATCTAGCTTCAACAAAAGTAAAGTGCATTCCTTGGGGTGCGCAGCAAGGCTGCCCACTGCGCTGCGCCTGGGGCGGCTGCAGGCGACGTTGCAGGGGTGGCGTGCCATGGGGGCAGCACCCAGCAGGCTGGTGTGCGTATGTGGGTGGGTGGGGCAGAGGTCGGGTGGGAAACTGACAGGGTCTGATGGATGGGCACCACACTGGGCATGCCAAGTGGGCGCGGAGCGCGGGGCGGCAGCGCAGCCTGCCCAGCCTCCAACTGCATGTGGCGGGGAGGCGCTGGCTGCTCAGGCCTCGCCGGGCAGCATAGTGTCCTCGGTGATCATGCACACCGCGCGAGTGGCGCCGGGGATGAGGTGGCCCACGCAGTCACGCTCCTTCAGCAGCTCCTCCTCCGTCTCCTGCAGCAGCAGCAGCCAGCACGAGGGAACCGTCGGGAAGCAGCTCTCATGCACCCTTTCATAAAGCAGGGCCAGGCTGCGTCTGCTATACGGCTGCACATATCACTCTGCCACACATCCCCCGTAGCGCCCCCCCCCCCCCGCCCACACACACACACACACACACACCACACACACGCACCGCCCACTGCCCACCGCACCTTGATCTTGGCCTGCAGCCAGTCGTCAATCACAAAGTCGTCGATGATCTCATAATCTCCGTCGCCATCCGAACGGCATGGCATGGAGAAGATGAGGTCCTCTGCAGGCGCGGGGAAAGAGAAGTGAGTCAATATGCAGGAGTTCCATGGCGGCTGAACAGGCAGGTGGGAACATGCAGGCAGGCACACACCGTCCACGCCGTAGGGGTTGCCCTCGGTGTAGACGCCGGTGGAGAAGCAGTCGCCGGGGGGGGTGGGGGTGTACAGGGAGCGCAGGTGGTCGGCGATGGACACGGCAGTGGAGGCGGCGGACGAGCGGCCCCACTTCTTTATGAGCGCGCCGCCGCGATTGGCCACCTTGGGCGTGAACTCCTCCTTGAGCCACTGCACGTCCTTGACCACTGCGGGCACGCGCTTGCCGCCAATCTTGGCGTTGACAAAGTCGGGGACCTGGGTGGTGGAGTGGTTGCCCCAGATGGTCATGTTGGTGACAGAGGTGTAGAACTTGCCCGACTTGAGCGCCAGCTGGCACTGCAGGGGGCAGGGGGGAAGCGGAGCAGGCCCAGGAGACTGTCATCGGCAGTGCCCTCCATCCGCCCGATGCAGATGCTCCAAACGCAGACGGCAACGGCAAACGCTGTGGCACCACGGCCCCGCCAGCAGCGCTGGGCCGCGCCCTGCCCCACCTTGGCGCGGTTCTCGTCCAGACGGGTGAGCGCGTGCCAGTTGCGCTTGGGCAGGTCTGGTGCGTTGGCCATGCCGATGAGGGCGTTGGTGTTGCACGGGTTGCCCACCACCAGCATCTTGCAGTCGCGGCTGGCCACGTCATTCAGGGCCCTGCCCTGCTCGGCGAAGATCTGGCCGTTGATGTCCAGCAGGTCCTTGCGCTCCATGCCGGGGCCGCGCGGCTTGGCGCCGATGAGCAGCGCCCAGTCGGCGCCCTCGAACACCTGGCGCGGGTCGATGCCCAGCTGCACCTCGCGCAACAGCGGGTACAGGCTGTCCTCCAGCTCCATGGCCACGCCCTCCAGCGCCTCGCGGGACCGCTCTGAGCCCAGCAGCTGCAGCTGGATGGGCTGGTCGCGGCCAAACACCTCGCCGGAGGCCAGCATGAACAGCAGGTGGTTGGAAATCTGGCCCGCCGCACCGGTCACCGCCACCTTCATCGTCTTCTTCCAGCTCTTGGTCAGCTCCGGCGACTCGTTGTCAAAGTCGTAGGAGGCGGTCCACACACTCTGGTAGCCCTCCTCCACCGGAGCGTCCAGGGTGGCAGCGCTGTGCAATGTTCAGGGGAGCAGTGGTAGTGTCGTTCAGGGGAACAGGGTTATCGGCGCACAAGGGCGGCTAAAGACACGGCAAAGGGCCAGCAGGGTGTATATGTGCTGCACGCAGGTCAGGGAGCGCACTGCCAAATTGTTGGGAGACTCGTATAGTCCACAAGCTTGCAGGCACCCTGCCGCGGCGACGAGCGGCGGAAGCAGAGCAGCAGGCAGCGCGCCCGGGGCGGGCGCGCCCTGAAGTCAGAGATTTGTGCTCGAGGCGCTGTGGCTCCCCAGGCTGGGCAGCAGCACGCACCTGCTGGCCACCAGGCGCTTCCCCCCAGTCTGCCCATCCTGCTTCTGCGCCCGGCAGACCAGCGACGCCCTAGGGAGCCTCCCTGCACTCCACGAGGCAAGGAGGTGTATCACAATCCACCTTGGCCCCGCACAGGGCCTGCCAAGACGCTGCGCTCGCCAAGCCTCTCACCTGCCCTGTTGGAGGGTGCCCTCCTCAGGGGCAGGGCAGAGCCGATGAAAGCGGTGGAGGCGGCCACCTGCTGCATGGCGAACAGATGAAGCGGAAAAGGCTCGAGCTTTGAGCCCAGGGGCGGGCTGTATCCCCCAGCCCCTGTCAGCAGCAGCGCAGGCTACAGACCCTGGAGTGCCATTTCTGGAGACTCGGGGCTCCCTCACTGCCTGTTCACTTGCTCAATTATTCGAAACATTCACCGCGCCCAGCTGATCAACCCGCATCCTTCACTTGCATTCCGCCGTCGGCACAGCGTGGGCCAGCCCGGCTTCATTGGTTGGGAGTCCCGAGAGGCCCGCAGCGCCAGCTGCTGACGCGCGCAAGCTGAAGCTCAGCGAGCAGCAGTGCACACACGGCCGGCGGCTCCTTGAGAAAAAGAGCAGCACAGGGCGCCTAGGGCAGCAGCAACGGCCTGCGGAGCAGCAGCAGCATGGAGCGCAAACGCAAGCTGGAGGTGTATGATGGGGTGCCGCAGGCGAATGGCGGCGGCGGTGCCTACCAGAACACGGCGGCGCCGCCCGCCGGCGACCCCCACGCCAATATCAATCCTTACACGGGACGCAGCTATAGCGCACGCTACCATCAAATTTTGTCCACGCGTCAGGGTGGGTGGGCAGCTGCTCTGGTGCTGGCCCATGTGTGTGGGTCAGTCAAACTGGGCCGCTGCCTCTGCCTTCTGTTTGCTGTGACATCCAGGGGCATCTGCCTGCCTCCTCCATGTCCTGCGCCGCCGCTGCTCGGCATCCACCCGCACCATCCCCTTCCGCAGGCCTGCCTGTGTGGCAAGCCAAGGCCGATTTCATCAACATGGTGAACAGCAGCCAGACAATCATCCTGGTGGGTGAGACGGGCAGCGGCAAGACGACGCAGATTGCGCAGTTCATCGCCGAGGCAGGCTACTGCGCCGGCGGGAAGAAGGTGGTGTGCACGCAGCCACGGCGGGTGGCGGCCATGTCCGTGGCGCGGCGTGTGGCAGAGGAGATGGATGTGGCGCTAGGGGAGGAGGTTGGCTACTCCATTCGCTTTGAGGAGTGCTCCGGCCCCCGCACCATCATCAAGTGAGTTGGGGCCACGTTGGCCGACAGGGTGGGCTTGTGCTGCAGGCCGCCGCTGCTGCCGCTGCTTCTAGGCTGGCTCACGTCTCCGCACCTCGTGCGTGCTGCCTTCCAAGGTGGCCATGCTCACCATTTCAACCTGCTGTCCCTCGCCCCTGCCGAAAGGTTTGCCACCGATGGCATGCTTCTGCGTGAGGCCATGACCGACCCGCTGCTGGAGAAGTACAGTGTGATCATCCTGGATGAGGCGCACGAGCGCACGCTGGCCACAGACGTGCTATTTGGCCTGCTCAAGGAGGTGCGTAGGATGCCCGTTGCTGCTGCTGCTGCTGCCGCTGCTGCAACTTGCTGCAGACAGCTGTGCGCCGCGCCGCTGGCTGAGCGGCTCGCAGGAAGTCGCTGCCTTGCATGCTCAACCCCTGGCTGCGGGTGCGCCCCATGTGCACGCAGGTGCTGAAGCAGCGGCAGGACCTGAAGCTGGTAGTGATGAGCGCGACGCTGGAGGCGGAGAAGTTCCAGGGCTACTTTCTGGACGCGCCGCTCATCAAGGTTCCGGGCCGGCTGCACCCTGTGGAAATCTTCTACACACAGGTGCAGTGCCTGCGAGTAGCTGTGCGTGTGTGTGTAGGAGTAGCTGCACTGGCATGGGGCAGCAAAGGCGGCTGCCCTCCTGTCTCGTTCCTGCCAACGTTCACCCTCTTTCGGGCACTTGCCAACTGCTCTCCTGCTGTCCCTCGCCACTGCAGGAGCCGGAGCGCGACTATCTGGAGGCCGCTATCCGCACCGTGGTGCAGATCCACTCGTGCGAGGGCCCTGGCGACATCCTCGTCTTTCTGACGGGAGAAGAGGAGATTGAGGATGCATGCCGAAAGATCACCAAGGAGGTGCGGCCGTTCGGCGATCAGCGTATGGGAAGACATGCGGCTGGCATGGCGCCCAGTCCTCCAACTTAAGGCGCACCCTGACCTGCTGGTCCTCAACAGTGCTGTGCCATGCCTTTTGTAGGTGAACAACCTGGGTGACAGCGTGGGCCCCATCAAGGTCTACCCCCTCTACTCCACCCTCCCCCCGCAGCAGCAGCAGCGCATCTTTGACCCCGCGCCGCCGGCGGCACGCCCCGGCGGCCCCGCCGGCCGCAAGATCATTGTTTCCACTAACATTGCCGAGACTAGTCTGACCATCGATGGCATTGTGTTTGTCATCGACCCCGGTTTTGCTAAGCAGAAGGTGAGGCTGGGCTGGGTGGTTGCACAAGTAGCTGGCCTTAGCCAGGTCCATCGGGGAAGCCGTTGTATCTGCAAGCTTGCATCCAGCAGCTTCCTGTGCGCCGCCTGGCCTGCAGGTGTACAACCCACGCATCCGGGTGGAGAGCCTGCTCGTATCCCCCATCTCTCGCGCATCTGCGCACCAGCGCGCCGGCCGTGCGGGACGCACCAAGCCCGGCAAATGCTTCCGGCTCTACACCGAGGCCTCCTTCTACAAGGACCTGCAGGAGCAGACGTACCCCGAGATCCTGCGCTCGAACCTGGGCTCCGTGGTGCTGCAGCTCAAGAAGCTGGGCATTGACGACCTGGTGAGCAAGGCAGGGAGAGGCGCGCCAGGCAGGGTGCCAGCTGGGATGCTGGCACGTTCCGTAACGCCTTGCTGCTCCAAGGGGAGAGGCTGCACACACCTGCAAACAATGCACGAGGGCGGGTCGCGCAGTGATTATAACACATTCCTCGTACTGAATGCCCGTCGTGGCATGACAGACAAGAAAACACCCATAGAATCTGAGCGCTTGCTGCCAGGGCGCAGCCGCTGCACGTGCCGCTGCCTGGCACCCGCATCCTGCCTCCTGCCTGCCACCCGGCCAGTGATGACCTCCACAACCTTATCTACATTGTACCGATTGTGGCCTGCCCACATGAGTAACTCTTCGACACCGAGGCCCGCCTGCACGCCCTGCTCCTCCCAACGCCCGGCACCCTGCACCCACATCCCGCTTGTTCTAGCGCATCTGCCACTCTGCACACACCCTGACCACACACCCTGTTGCTCCTGCACCGCTTTGCCTTGCCCTTTGCAGGTGCACTTTGACTTCATGGACCCTCCTGCCCCCGAGACACTCATGCGTGCCCTGGAGATGCTCAACTACCTGGGTGCCCTGGACGATGAGGGCAACCTGACGCAGGTGAGCAGCCTTGGTTTCTGGGATGAAGGTGCTTGCAGAGGGAGCACCGTGGTGTGGCGCCATCCAGGCCTCTTGGGCGCCCAATCGCTCCCTGATTCCCTTTCTTCTCTTTTTCGGCCGCCAGGTGGGCACCGTCATGGCCGAGTTCCCGCTCGACCCGCAGCTGTCCAAGATGATTGTGGCGGCACCCGAGTTCAAGTGCTCCAACGAGATCCTGAGGTGAGAGCTGGGTGGTGGGTTTAGGATCCTGTGGCTGCACCACCTTGCCGTTGCCTCCCTTTTTCTGTAGGTGTGTTATATGCACACAGCCTTCACGCCTCTGCCCTTGCGCTGCAGCATCGCCGCCATGCTGTCTATTCCCAACGTCTTTGTGCGGCCGCGCGAGGCGATGAAGGCGGCAGACGAGGCCAAGGCGCGGTTTGCCCACATCGACGGCGACCACCTCACGCTTCTCAACGTGTACCACGCCTACAAGCAGCACGGCGATGACAGCGAGTGGTGCTATGCCAACTTCCTGAACAACCGCTCGCTGAAGAGCGCAGACAACGTCCGCGGCCAGCTGGTGGGTGGCTCTGGCGGGCGCTTCCGGTCGGGCCTGCTGCAACGGCCGGGCGGGCCGGTCAAGCGCCCCACACCCCTCATCTTAACACCTGGTGGGTGCCCTCCGGTTCCCGCCGTCTCTTTGCCTTGCAGGTGCGTATCTGCACGCGGCTGCAGGTCCAGCTTGTGTCCACTGACTTCAACTCCCGCGACTACTACACAAACATACGCAAGGCGCTGGTGGCGGGGTACTTCATGCAGGTGTGTGCCCATGTGGTGCTGGTGGGATGGGGTGGCCACCAGGCCGCGGCGGACTGTGGGTGGGGCACCAGAGCAGTTCAGCTTTTTTCCCTGCGACTGTTCCCTGACTGGCTGGCTGGCTGGCTGGGCGCAGGTGGCGCACCTGGAGCGCACCGGGCACTACCTCACAGCCAAGGACAACCAGGTGGTGTACCTGCACCCTTCCACCTGCCTGGACCACAAGCCCGAGTGGTGAGCAATGTGCTGCGCGGCAACATGCCACTCCCTGCTGCGGCGGGCCTGGGGCTGGCTGCGGGATGCGTCTCGCCAATGGCAGGTCCTTGGCTGCTTCCTTCTCTTGTTATCTGCTCTGCCCGTGCGTGACGCCTGCTGCATCACCATTGCACGCGCCCCGCCTTGCTCGCGTCTGTGCAGGGCCCTGTACCAGGAGTTTGTGCTGACCAGCAAGAACTACATTCGCACTGTGACCGACATCAAGGGCGAGTGGCTGGTGGACCTGGCGCCCCACTACTTCGACATGACCAACTTCCCGGCGGGCGAGGCCAGGAGGGCGCTGGAGCGGCTGTACGCCAAGCGGGAGAAGGACCGGAGCGGGAGGTTCTGAACTGCACCAGAGCCTGGCCCATGCGTGGTGGCTGCTGCGCTGCTTCTTTGATTTCGCCTGTAGCAATACATCGATTCTTCCTGTGTTTGTAACTTTCATGTGTGGATAACTGAGGCGCGGGGAGCTGGATATGGCGTGGCACAGTGATCTTGCCCAGGTTGCGCCAGCGGGCGCCCCGCCAGCGGGCGGACCCTCTGCTTTGTTTCTCTCCCCAGGTGGTGGCATGGAACATTTCTTTTCATTCTCCATTCCAGCATGCACTTCGGCCTGTTTTCGGCAGTCAGTCGCGTGTTGACGACTGCACCATTGTCACGGTGTTGACAGCGTTTCTGGCTCTAGATGGCGTTCGTTATCGACCTGACTGGAGCTGTGCAGCAGGCGAGAGAGGACCCGCCGCCCACCCGCCGGCCAGCCCACCCGCCAGAAGTTGCTTCTCACAAGCGAGCGGTCTCGACTGACCGGCATCTCTCTGCTGTCATGCAGGCGAGACCAAAGCGTCGGCGCAAGGAGGAGGAGGACGTCATTGACCTAGTGGACAGCCAGGTGGGGGCGGGCAGGTGGGCACCCCGGGCACCGGCGTGGCGGCAGCAGCGGCAGCAGCAGGACGGCGGGCATGCCATTGCCATCGATCTGACGAACAGCCAGGACGACTATGCACAGCCAGGGCTGCACTCGCCAGCAGCCAAGCGACGGAGAGCGCCTGCCAAGGCGCCCAGCCGGGGGGGTTCTCAGCTATCGCCCCGGCATCAGACACAGCAGACACGGACGGAGCGACAGGCACTGCTTCCTGCGCAGCGGGAGCAGCAAGCAGTGCAGCAGGAGCGGCAGGCATGCTTGATCTGTTTTGAAGATGAAGGCGCCTTCATGCACTCCTTTGGTGGGTTGAGAGCCCATCAGCATTCGCGCCTGATGGCGGGGAAATCACGCCTGCAGATTCTTCATGCTGAGGCTTGCTAGCTGCCATGCCCCACCATGCCCCACCCGCCAGGACCTCCATGCCACCGCATCTCGCAGGCGCTTGCGGCCACAAGTTCTGCCTGCCCTGCCTTCGGCAGTACATCAGCGGCAAGGTCACGGATCGAGTCTTCCCCATCCCTTGCCCACTGCCGGATTGCAAGATGCCAGTCAGCGCCGCCGAATGCGGGCTGGTGCTGACTGCAGAAGAGCAGGTCACGCTCGGCAAGGTATGGGATTGTGTGGCAGTTTGTTGTTGCTTTGCGCTGTTAGCAGCAGCAGTTGGCTTCAGAGCCTGGCTGGCTTATCTGCAATGGCGTGCACTGCTTTGCCATGCCACGCTCCATGCAGATGGAAACGGAGGCTGCGGTGGGCGAGGGAGCTCGTTTGTTTTGCCCCAACAAGAAGTGCTCCCAGCTGCTGATCGCCGACGACAAGCGGGCCAACACCGCTATGGAGTGCCCCTACTGCACCGAGCAGCTCTGCGCCAACTGCGGGGTGGCGTGGCACCAGGGGATGACCTGCCAGCAATACCAGGTTGGCAGGGACGCCGCGGGACAGCGGGTGCTGCTAGGCGGCGCCAGCGCCGAACAGCCATGTGGATGCAGGATCTTCTCTCCCGCCTTGCCTTGGTGCTTGAAACGCGACTCCCTCGAACCTGTGCTCTGACCACTGGCATGCAAGCTAACTTTATGCGTATCCTGTCTTGTTGCCTGGGCTGGTGCAGGCGCAGCCTGGCGCCCTGCGCAGCAAGGACGACCAGGCTGTGCTCGATTTGGCGGAGCAGGAGGGGCTGCGCCGCTGCCCTGGCTGCGGCCAAATGGTGGAGAGGACACAGGGGTGCTCCCACATGCACTGCCGCTGTGGCGCCGTCTTCTGCTATAGCTGCGGTAAGAGCAAGAAGAGGGGTTCCGGCCACTACTGCGACTGTAAGCCCGCGGCGCAGCAGTGGTTGCACCCTCCCGCCGCGATGGCAGAGCAGATGCAGGCGCAGCAGCAGGCGGCGCAAGCAGTAGCCCGGCAGAGGCAAAGGATACGACAGCAGCGCCGGCAGTAGCAGCGCGAGGCGAGTCGGCAACAGCAGCAGCAGGTGGGCCGGCCTCAAACGCGTGGCGCCCAGGTGGCGGTGGCCGGAGCAGTAGCGGCAGCAGCGGGCCCCGGAGCACCAGGTGCTTGGGTGCCGCCCGTCGCCTTTGCTGGCATGCCTGGTCTCGTCGCTCCTGGCGCAGCGGCACCAGCAGCAGCTGCCGCCGGCTGGATGCCACACATTGCCTTCCCTGGCATTGCCTTCCCTGGCCGGACCTAGCGGCGTTAGCACAGCAGCTGCTGGGACCCTTTTGATCAGGGCTGGGTTCTGGTTTTGAACTTTTCTCTCTGCCTCTGCTCCTGAACTCCGCTTTATACTGTACAGCTCGCCTGCTTCTGGCGCAATGATGGCGGCGGACGCCTGCCACTCGATAGCTGTTTGCTTGCCTTCCCTTGCCTTTGATAATCTTCAAATCGAAACCTATTGCTTTGCGGCTATTGAAACAACTCCTGATGAAGCACTGGGAAACAGGACAGCGTGTGCACGCGTCGCCTGGAACATTCCTTGACCATTTGGTCAAGAGTCGGATGAAATTGGGAATGGCAAGGGAGGATTGACACTGCAGACTCTGGCAGTGCTTTGCATCAGAAAGCACCTCAGCGTGTTGCTGCATATTTTGGGGCTATCGCATGAATGACTGCTGACCTACAACATAGTGGGTCAAAGCAGGCCCAGCACTGAGTAGGCACCACCAGCTGCCGCCCGGCCGCCGCGGTGCCGCCGCCTTGCGCAGGCGGTGCCACTTGTGTTGGCACCAGTTGCATGCAGCCAGCGATTCAAGTGTTGCAGTTCGCAGATGAAATGACATCAAGCTACAGGTATAAGCAACAAAATGGTGCGTCCGGTGCAGCCTAGACCTGCGGGGTCAGAGCGACAGCTCCTCGGGCGACACAATCACGCCGTCCTGCAGCATGCCGCCCGGGGCAGGGAGATAGCAGGGATGTTCTCAGACTAAACTGCTGCCACCAGACTGCTGTCGACAGCGGCGTGCCGCCAGACCCCATTCCCAAGCAGCCCGCCCGCCCAGCCAGAGCGCTTGCCTTGTCAGCATACACCCAGTCTCCCGGCTTCACCGTCACCCCCGCAAAGGTGATTGGCACGTCCCGCAGGCCCTTGTCGCGCTTGGCCGACTTGAGGGGGTAGGTGTTGAGCGCCTTCACGCCCAGGGGCATCTTGCCAATGTCCTGCACAGGTGCCCAGGCGGGGGGAGCAGGGGGGGGTCCCCATTACGGCCTTGGCATGGGGTCCAGCAGCACAGGCAGGAGTGGTGCTGGGCAGGTCAAGAGAGGAGCAGCCACGCAAGGCCCACCACCCAGCAGCCTGCCGCCAGCATCGCACACCTCGCTGTCACGGATGCAGCCGTTGATGATGATGCCGCTCCACCCATTCTTGTAAGCCATCTCGGCGATGTTATCACCCAGCAGCGCACACCTGCAGGCTCAGAATTGCTTTGATAACTTCAATGCTCCTCCTCCTTCCGTGCTCATCCCCCATCAGTCGTTGGCTGCTGATATCCCACCACTCTCAGCCAAGCCACGACACCCAGCAGCTATCAGGTTGCAGCCACATCCTTTTCTGACCCTGCCTCTCAGCACCCACCGCATGCTGGCGCCGCCATCCACCACCAGCACCCGCCCTGCGCCCTGCTCCTCCAGCGCCGCACGCACCAGCGGGTTGGCCTGCAGCACAAGGTGAAGCAGCCACACACTCACGCATGTGGCAGCATGCAGTGGCCGGTGGCGGGCGGCGTGGAATCGCCAGTACAGTTGCAGAATAGGCAGCCACAAAACAGTAGCCTACAAGCAGCCGCCCACCTCGAAGCACTTGATGGTTGCTGCCTGGCCGCGGAAGCGCAAGTGCCCGCCGAGGTCTCTGAACAGCGGCTGCATGATCTGGATCTTGGGCTGCGACACACAATCCACTGCTTCTGGGTGGTACACGTCGCACAGGTCGGCGGTGCCCAGGCGGGAGGGGTCGGGGGGCGGGTACTGGTTGCTGGCAGGGCCCGACGCAGAGGCGGCGAGGCCCCGTCGGGTGGCGCTGCAGCCGGCAGCGGCAGCCCAGCGCTGCACGGCGGTCTGGGCGGTCCTGGCCAGCATGGTGAGATCCGCGGGCCAGGTGCGGGGGGCAGGAGGAGACCTGCCCAGGGGCTTGGCAAACCCTGGTGGGGCTCGAGGGTGCTTTGGGCCTCGAGGATGTCGCTCCAGGTACGTTGGAATTGGACGGTTCTGAAATCGCGCGGATTTAGCTTGCTTTAGCATGGCGCCTGATGAGTGCCCCGCTGGTTGCTGCTGAGCGTGCCTTGGGGGTGTGAGTGACTCTGGAGGCCCTCTTGGCTAATCTGCGGTTTCCAAGCATTGATCGCACGTGCCCCGCTGCTGTCCCGCTGTCCGCAGCCCGATCCCTCAGCTCTGCTCCTCGTCTGGGTCTTCACTACCACCGCTCCCAGCACAGGCAGGCCTCGCAGCCCGCCCACGAGCACACACACGGTCCGAGTCAAGTAGCCGCAGCTAGCAAATGCAGGAGATTCAGATGCCGGCAGTCCCTGCTCCACCAACACTGGCGGCGCCCCAGCCGGCCAGCGGTTTCGTCCGCTTCGCCAAGGACAGCTTTGCGGGCACTGTCGGTGAGGCACCATGCTGGCTACCAGTGCACTACCATCCTGCTTCACCACAGCTTGAAAAAGAGCGCTGCCGTGCCCGGTCGGCTGCTCCCGCTTGTGCTTCACGCCCGCCACTGGGGGGAGCCGCCTGTCCCAAACCACACCGCCGAAATGCGTCACCTCCCTGGCCCTGCAGGCGGCATTGCGGTTACGATGGTGGGACACCCCTTTGGTGAGCCCTGCTGCTGGCCAGCTTCAGCCAGCTGCGGTTTGCATGTACCGCATGTAGGGAGGTGAACGCCGGCGCCGTTGCTGTAGGTACAGATTGATCGTGGTAGCACTATTCCTCTCCTACTCCTCTCCCGTTTAATGCGCCTACCACATGCCCCAACTGGCAAGGTGCACGGCTCACTTGTCTGCATCCGGCATGCTTCTCCCCCTTTGCAGACACAGTCAAGGTGCGGCTGCAGACACAGCCCTCGGTCAACCCCATCTACAACGGCGCGATCGACTGCGTGAAGAAGACGCTGCAGTGGGAGGGCGTGCCAGGGCTGTACAAGGGCGTCACCTCGCCACTGGCAGGGCAGGTGCGGTGGCGGTGGCGGCGGCGGCGGCGGCGGCTCCGCTGCTGCAGTGTGTGTCTCCAGCCAGCAAGCACTGGCTTTGCCGTTGCATGCCCTGCTGTCGCTGCTCAGAGTGCCCGCCCTCATCATGCCATGCCCGCCTGCCCCGCAGATGTTCTTCCGCGCCACGCTCTTCTCCGCCTTTGGCGCCTCCAAGCGGTGGCTGGGCACTAACGCCGACGGCACCACTCGCGACCTCACCACAGCAGACTACTACAAGGCCGGCTTCATCACCGGCGCCGCTGCTGCCTTCACTGAGGCTCCCATCGACTTCTACAAGAGCCAGATCCAGGTCCAGATGGTGCGAGCCAAGGCAGATCCAACGTACAAGGGTGAGCAAGGAGCAGTGCTGAGCGCCTGATGGGCGGGATGTGGCGCACGCGCGCGCTGGCAGCAGGGCACAGGCATGCGCACCAGGGCGCAGCAACGTTTGGCCGCGTTCTGCCTCTGGCGGGTTGCTGCTGGTGTAGCTGACCAGCGTGGCACCTCGCCTCTCCCTTCCTCGCCCCTGTGCAGCTCCCTACACCTCTGTGGGTGAGTGCATCAAGGCCACGGTGCGGTACAGCGGCTTCAAGGCGCCCTTCCAGGGCCTGTCGGCCACGCTGCTGCGCAACGCCCCCGCCAACGCCATCTACCTGGGCAGCTTTGAGGTGCTGAAGCAGCAGGCCAGCAAGTACTACGGGTGCGCACCCAAGGACCTGTCCGCCCCCGTGGTCATGGCGGCGGGCGGCACCGGCGGCATCCTCTACTGGCTGGCCATTTTCCCAGGTCTGTAGACAGGCAGCAGGAGCACAAGGCGCATGGCTTTGGGGAAAGAATGTGCCAAAAGGCACTCGCTTGGGCGAGCAGAACGTCTGCATTCCAGCTTGGTCTGCCGCAGCCCCGCTGCATGCTCATTCTCATGCCGCGATGCCTGCTGCTGCTGTCTCGTGCCCCACTCTGCAGTGGATGTGATCAAGAGCGCCATGATGACCGACTCGATTGACCCCGCGCAGCGCAAGTACCCCACCATCCCCTCTACCGCCAAGGTGAGCCAGCAGCTGGACGCGCAGACCTGCTTCTCACCGGGACCAGCAGCCGAGAGGTGCTGGCTGCCAGCGCTCCCAGCTGCTGCCTGTCGTGTGCCGGCCTGCCGACCGAGCAATGCATGCTTGCCCTGCCCTGCAGGCTCTGTGGGCGGAAGGCGGCCTGTCCCGCTTCTACCGCGGCTTCTCGCCCTGCATCATGCGTGCCGCGCCTGCCAACGCTGTCATGCTGTTCACGGTGGACAGGGTTAGCCACCTGCTTTCTGACCACTGAGCACAGGCCCTCCAGCTTGAGTGTGCCATTTCATGACGACTCTTCCCTGCTATGCGGCTTCGCTGTATTCCCAGCACCTGCCCCCTCGGAGTGCGGGCTGTTTGCTGCCAATGCCTAGTGCCCCGCTTCTGCTCCTCTGCTGACCTCGCCTACCAACCAACACACTGCTGCCTGCCCGGCCCCTTGAGTGTATCACCTTCTGGCCTGCCCCCGTCTGCACCCTGACATATCGTTTGCTTTTGCCTCGTACAGAATGCAATGCTGAGGCGCCGCCGCACAGGCCCCAATTTTATCATCTCATTGCCTGCCTATCCCAAACGACTCCTCACATTTCCTTGCTTGCTGTTCGCAAGACCTATTTTTCTCCGACCTCATACATCCATGCTGTTTTTCTTCTGATCTCTTTGCTGCTCAAGGTCTTGAACCTGCTTGTAATTACTCCACATCTGGCTGCTGGCTTGCTCAGCCCGCCAATTCTGCCTCCTCAGCCCATTTTGCTGTATTTCAGCATGTCCTGCTCACTTCAAACTCACGCTCCCTTCCCTAAGCGCTGTCTGCTGCGTGGTCGTCCGGCACTGTCCTGCCCTGCCAGCCCCTATCAAAATGATCGTGTCACCGCCCTGGTGGGTTATGGTTGCCTGCTGGAGGTCTTCAACAGAGTGCCTGCCCGCCTCCCTTCTGCTGCTGCCGGCCTGGCTGCCGCTGCGCCTGCTGCCGTCAATCGTGGCGGGACCGGCAAGACGCTGCTCCACCAGCTTTCCTACAGTACAGGGCCGGTCGGTCAACACGAGCTGAAGCCACGACGTGCTGAGCCTGCCCAAAACATCCCAACCAACCAACAGCGCACTCACTGCTGGCGATTGATTGTTGCTGCGCAGGGTGTGCGGGCTCCAGCGTCGGGAGGGGCTGGCTGGCAGAGGAAGAGGGGCGCAGCTGGCTGCGCTTTCGGATTTCATGCTCCCGCCTGTGCCGAGCTGGCGCCAGCATGCAGGCCGCCACCGGCTCTCACCCGCTGGGCGTCCCATTTGTAGCATGGGCTGCTGCAACCAGCACTACTCGACACACACGCATTAGGAATGGGGCTGCAGCAGCTGAGCCTGACGCCCCTGGTGCCCTCCGGAATGGAGGTGAGAGGCTGCGGGGCCTGCCCCAGGCTGCTGAAGCTCCAGGCGGCCCCCAGACGGCCCTCAGCAGTATCACGCGGCCGGCTGGCCGTTTCTGCCTCCTGGCAGCCAAGGTGGTGGTCGCGGCCCAACGCGGCTGCACCTCGCTCGCTCGGCGCGGGCCCAGCAGCGAGCGGCACACCCCAAGACAGCCCTCCGGTGGGTACCACTGTGTGTGCACCCCCAGGTGGGCTAGCTGCACACCCTACGACACCCGCAGCGCCCGGTGCCGCCACGTGCGTCGAGTTGCCGCCACCTGTGGAGTTGCTGAACTCTGCCCACGTTCGTGCAGAAGGAGAAACCTGCGTGCCAGCTTGTACACCCAAATCCCTCCTCCCTCCTCCTCAGTTTCTCCGCGAGGCTGCGTAGTGTGGGTCCCCAGGCCCTGCCGTTCATGCGGTTGTGCCGCCGCACATGCCGTGTGCCTGGGCGTCGGGCGCAGGCAAGGTGGACCTGATCGCGCGGCATGCAGGAGTGACAGTAGCGTACGGAGAAAGGACCGACTCTTGTCGCCGCCGCCGCCATTGCAGCTGCCACCGCCACCGCTGGGCCTTTGCCGCACCAGGCGCTCTCCGAAATTCTCTGCGCTGGCAGGTGTTGGCCAGCCCGCTGCGGCCGAGATGCAGGGATGCGAACATTCTGCAGCACAAGCCGGGCCCTTGCACCAGAGTGTTTTTTCGCTGGAGGACCGTTTGCTGCCTGCTCCATGGCTGCTCAGTTTGTGGGTCCTCGGGTCGCACAGAGGCAGCAAACCTCCGCTGCCGCTAACATCGCTGCTTCTGCCAAAACAGCTGCATTATCCATCGCTGTCTCTTTGCACTGCATAACGTGGCCGCGCTGCTTGCGGCTGCAAGGCGCGGTTGCGTGAGTGCATCTCCTACCGCCATCACCCTCCTCCTCCAGTCTTTGCGTCGGCACGTTCACAACACACTTCCCACATACGCAGCCCTATGTGCCAGCTGCGTCTTGAATCTGAAGCCAAGTTGCAGGCGCCGGCACTCCCCAACGTTCCCCAACGCTCCCCAACTGAGTGTTCATTCCTTCTGAATCTGTGTTTATCAGGCAATGAACGCATCTATTTCCCGCCTGCTGATGCCAACAATGCAAAGGCACGGGACGGGGCAAAGCCGCGCCCACGCCTCGTTCCGGCGGCATCGGACGAAATTTTGCTGGAGGCCGGCATCGTGGCCGACGGCCGGACAGAAATGATAACCTTCATCTGTTTTGATGGACACACAACTACCTGCCCAATGTTCTGATGCCTACACGCCTTGCCTTTAGACACCTTTAGGCAACGTGGGGCAAGGCGCGCCGCCCACGCCTCACCTGCATCGTGGCGCCCCCAGCGGGCGTTGCCGCGCGGCAATTCAAACAGTCCCTGCCTCCAACGATCGATGTGCGGGCATGACAGGGCGGGCGAGCGACAGCACCGGCCCCATCGGACGAAGTTTCGCAAGAGGCCAGCATCGCGGCTGGCTCCCCCCAACAATCACAGTTCCAGTAACTGCAAGCACATCGGGCCGCCCTGGCCGGCGCGGGGAGCCCACCAGAAATGGCAATCTTCGCCGCAAAATGTTACACTTTTCAACCCCCCCTTCTGCCGCGTTTTTCAGAACCAACTCGGCACGAGGAATCGATCGCGCCGGGTCCGGGGCGCCAAAGCCACTAAACGCACATCACCCTGTTTCTGATAGCTGAAAGTGGGATGCGCTGATTGCTAAATGCGATGCGACAATGGCAGAATCCAAGGCGTCGAGTGCTGAAACCAAGGTGATGATAGCGGAGTCACAGGCAAAGTCTGCGAGAAACAGAATTTTGATAGAGGAGATACGCCGCCGTAGGCAGTGCAAGGCCGACGAGATCAGCAGCCTCACAGACGCCCAGCACACTGCGCTGGCGCGGCTGCAGTCCAGCGCCACCCTTGCAGCGCACGCGTGGCCGTGCCTGGCAGCTGGAGCCACTCCAGCAACCCGCGCTGCCGCAGCGGAGGCCTCGGCCGCGGCGGCAGCAGCATGGGCCACCACGGCATTGGGCCTGGAAGCAAAGGCAGAGTCCAGCGCTGCCCGCATGGCCTGCCAGCCAGCGGCGGAGCATGCAAGCTTAGCTTTGGAGTGGGAGGCAGCGGCTTCAGCGTGGCGAGCAGCATTTGAGCAGCTTGAACTGGCCAAGCAGGCGGACCCTGGGTCGATGGCGGTGCAAGAGGTGGAGGAGGCGATAAAGGAAAAGCGTGGCTTCAAGCACAACCGCCAGCAGTGGGGTGTGCAGACTGGCACATCGTGAACAATGGTAGCACGTCCTCGCCAGTATGCACCCGTTTGTATGTACCATTAGTGCCTGACCTTCTCCATTGCCCCATTGCCCTTTGTTCGTCACCTCGTGCATTCCACGGACACAGCTAGACCATGAGTTGCTCACTGCACATGCACTACCGACTCCTGACAGGTGGTTGCCTACCATGCCTGCCTGCATGTTTCCCATCCCTGTGACAACCACAAACCTTGACATTAGTGGCAGAAGGGATGGAGTGGCATGCGCATTTCTGACGATCGAGAGCTGGGAGAAAGCCGGTCGCCATGTCGGGCGGTGACGCGATTTGCACTTGCTCTTGTGGCCAGTATTGCTTGCCCCCATCAACAATGCAAGGACATGAGCTGTGGACCGAGATAAATTTCAGCTGCGTGTTATATCAGGGCGTTGCCTGCTTGATCTGCCACATGCCCTCCCTGTCTGACTGAATGTTTTGTAGCACTTCATGCTCAGAGGTAACAATGCAGAGCAGAGGAGCAGACCAGAGAGGGAATAAATGGCAAAGTGAGCAGTTGGGTAACAAATCATTCGCATTGCGCAAAAGCGGTTGGGGTGACGAGGAGGGCTGGGAGCCCTATCTCAGGCCTTCAGGTAGTTCTGCTGCTGCAGGCCGTCGCGGAAGGCCGCCAACACCAGCTCCACGTTGGCGGGCTTGGCGTTGTAGCCCATCAGGCCCACGCGCCAGATCTTGCCCGCGGTTGGGCCCAGGCCGCCCGCAATCTCCACATTGTACTTGTCCATGGCGTTCTTGCACAGCGCAGCCCAGTCCACACCGGCGGGCACCTGAGGAAGCAGGGAAAGAAAGGGTTGTTCGGCATCTGCTACCAGGCAAAGGCAGGAAGGCATCGGCCAGCCAACTGCCCGCAGCCGCTCACTGGCGAGCAGACAGAGCCTGGATCTCATGGGCAGCCATCTGCTGCTGCGGCCCCGGTCCCAGGCGCTCTGCTCAGCGGCTACACGCAGCGCCCGGCGCCGTAACAGCCCGCCCTTGCCTTGATGGTGTTGACCGTGACCAGGCGGTCGTTGGGGTCCTCCACAAACGGCTCCAGCCCCATGCTGCGCAGGCCGTCCCACATCTGCTTGTGCACAGCCTCGTGCCGCGCCCACATAGCATCCAGCCCCTCCTCTGCCACAATGGCAAGCGCCTCCCGAAGGGCATACCACATGCTGACCATGCCGGTGTGGTGGTAGGAGCGGGAGCCATACCAGCCCTGCATGCAGGCATGAGGGGTAAAGCATGTGAGCTGTCTGGCCAAGCCAGATGGATACACTTTTGAGGGGGGCGCCTCGGCAGGCGGCTCCAGCACCGTGCTGCAGCTACTTAGCCGCCATGTCGCTCCTTCCCAACCTACCCAGTAGTCTCCCACCAGGTGCAGGTCCAAGTAGTAGGAGCGGACCTGCAGCAGGGGAGGCAAAGCAGGGTTGCGATGCTGGAGTGTGTGCGCTGGTGGGGCAGGGGATCAGCCCTTCACCCCGCTACCTGACACACCCTCTCCGACATGCTGCTCCCCCGCCGCACTGCTGCCCCCGCACAGCCCCAACCTGGGCCGGCCCCCCACCTTGGTCTTGCGGTTCTGGACCTTCTGCAGCGCACGGTCGTTGAGCATGAGCGGTGCGCCGCCCGGCGGCGCCGACAGGCACTTTTGCGAGCCGCTGTAGATGGCGTCCACGCCCCACGCGTCGGCATACATGGGCACGCCGCCCAGGCTGCACACCGTGTCCACAAGCAGCAGCGTGCCGTTCTTGCGGCACATCTCGCCCACGCCCGCCAGGCTCTGGTGCACGCCCGTCGACGACTCGCCCTGGCACAGGAACAGCACCGCCGGCTTGTGCTGCTCCACTGCCGCTGTGAGCTCCGCCAGGCTGAAGCTCTTGCCCGCCTCTGTTTGCAGATTGACCACCTTGGCCCCAAACCGGCCCGCCATGTCGCACACGCGCGTGCCCTGCGCAGCCAGGAGGGCAGCAGCCAAGCCTATGAACCGCGTGTGGGTGGCACCAGGGCCCAGGGCAGTGGCGGCAGCAACATATTTACACGCAGCAAGGATTCTTGTTGGAGTGGTGCAAAAGAAGCACCCTCACCCAGATGCCATTGTTGCCAACGACAATCGTCTCGCCAGGCTCCAGCAGGTTGGCAATGGCCATCTCCATGCCCGCATGGCCGGTGCCCGATGCGCACAGCGTGTACTTGGAGTCGGTCTGGAACAGGTACCGCAGGCCTTGCTGCACCTCATCCATGATCTTCAGGAAGGGCGGGTGCCTGCAGCAGGGTGGAGCACGAGGATGGTCGGTGGTGGGGTCGGGGTGATTGCGTGCATGCCTGGACGCGGCTGCCTTTGACACCACCCCTGCTCGTGCATGCACCTGCATGCTGGCTGGTGATCCCAGGGCAGCAGCATGCAGAGCGGGAGCACCAATGCAGTAGCTACCATGCAAAGGCTCACATGTGGCCCAGCAGGGGCAGGCTCTGAGCGGCCAGGATGCGTGGGTCGGCGTTGGCGGGGCCGGGGCCCATCAGGTAGCGCTGGGGGATCTGCAAGGTCAAACCGAGAGGAGCAGGGGGTGGAAGCAAGTAAAGTGAAGTGCCTAGGAGGTGAGGCAAGGAGGCAGCGGGAGGCGGGATGAGCGCTGGTGCAGCCTGGCAGTGCTGGTCCACATCTGCCTTGGCTGCGCGCGTGTCCATATGCAATAGGGAGCAAGGCAGCGCCAAGGCCCGCACTGCTGAACTGGAATGCCGCGACTCCTTTGCCAGGTTCCCGGGCATTGCGCTGCGCCGGCCTGCCCACCTCCAGCACGCCCGTGGGACCCTTGTGGGCATCGCTTATGGCCGGTGTGGGCTCCCCAGGCCGTGCGCTGCCGAACGAAGCCATTCCCCGTAGCTGCTGAGAAACTTGGGAGGCCAGACGCGTCCTACGAAGGATGGCGGCCATCGGAGTTTCGGGGGAACGGGCAGCCCACTGCCTTTAGCAATTCACAGGTGGACCAGCGCGTGAAGAAAAGGGTGTCTACCACCGCTGGAAGGCTTTCGGGCCTTCCACCGCCTGATGCAACCGATGGAGCCGCAGGGGGGGCAGGGACGCGCCATCGGCGCCACATGATCGCCTCATCTCGTCCTCATGCTGCGCCCGCTGCGGCGGCTGGCTGCAGAGGCGCAAAACCCAGGGCCTACAGAGGCCGCCACTCCCGGCTCATCATGTGATCACCATGAGGGGATCAGATCATGTGGGTGATGCAGCGGGCGTCAATGCTGCAATGCTGCCACGGACTGGCCACGGCAAGCCACTTGCACGGAAGAACTGACAATAGCTGCGGCAAAAGGGAAAGCATGAGCCTCTGCATGCGCATTTGGCCATCGTGGGGCACATGGCATGCAAGCGTCACAGCGGTTGCCAGCCAATTGGCTCATGACCAGCTTCACATGCAGACGCACATATCAAGGACTGAGACCCTTTCTGGGTGGGAACCAGCTTGTTCAAAATCAGCTTTCAGAATCATGGGGCCTCTTGCCTTATCATTGCCAAGCCATTCACTCGTCACACGCCAATATGTACAGAGCACGAGGGTGCCATGCAGAAAACTCAACCAGGGGCATGAAGCTCGCTGAAGACATCTGGCGACGGCGGCGCCGCCAGCTCAGCGCCGCTGAACACGGTAAGCCCGGCGCTGTGCTGCCCCACCCTAGCTGCCATCCAAGATGATGCACACCAGCTCCAGTCAGGACCTGCTGGCTACACTTTCGAGCCCGCAGACAAGAGCGCCGGAGCCCCTATCCAAAGACACGCTCAATGCAAATGTGAGCCAATCTGCCGGTTCGGAGGGTCGAACAGTGCGGGGTGCACGGCGCGATCGAGCATGCAGGGCTTGCCCTCCCCACTGAAAAGCCCTGGCCTATCTCGCCCCTGCCCTCCCTGCGGCTGCAGGTTATTGAGGCCGAATATGCAGGTTGGTCTGCATGATGGCGCCCCCGAAGTGGGGGAGCAGGCAGCAACCAAGCTGTTGGGCGGCCCTGGCTGCCAGCGGCGGGTTCCTCGCCAGTGCAGCCGTGAGAGGGGCATTTGCAGGGCAGCGCAAGGAGTGCAGGAAAATTGCCAGCCAGAGACACACAGCCCATTCTGACACGTGCTGCTGCCTGCAGTGCGCGGAGCGATTGCCATCAAGAGCGCCGCCTACCAGCAGCAGCTGCGGGAGGGCAAGGGCGCAGGCCTGCCATTCGACAAAGTGTACCAGTGCAACATCGGTGCGCCGCTGATCCCTTGAACACAAAGCAATGCCATGCTGGGCCTGCACTGGCCGGCTGGCACAGCATGGAATTGCTTGGCAGCTAAGCACTGTGCCGTGCTCGCTTGCAGGCAACCCTCAGATCCTGGGCCAAAAGCCCATGACCTTCTTCCGCCAGGTGCTGAGCCTGTGCGAGTACCAAGATCTCATGGAGCATGAGCTGGCGCCGCAGATATACCCACCAGATGTGATTGCGGTGCGTGGCGTGGAGGCGGCGTGGCACTTGCGACACTGGCGGGTTCCGCTGTGCACCTGCGTTTCATCTCCTCTGCCCTGCCCTCCCTGCTTCGCAATGCAACCGGCTTGTTGCATCCGGCTCCTTGTCACGACTCTAGCCGTGTCTTGGGGCTGCCCTGTAGCGCCTTGTCCTGCCACCCAACTCCCGCGCCCTGCCCCCTACCTGCCTGCCTGCGCTCTCTGCAGCGTGCGCGTGACTACCTGGCCAACATCCCAGGCGGCGTGGGCGCCTACTCGGAGAGCAAGGGTGCCGTCATCCTGCGCAAGGAGGTTGCCAAGGTGGGTGAGGGGCCTGCTTTTCTGTACAGAGGCAGGCTGAGGGGCGAAGTGATGTGTTGCTTGGCAACGATTCGAGGAGGAGGGCCCAGAAGAGGGTACTTATCGGGGCCGGGTGGCCGGCAGGCAGGCTGCCCCACCACACGTGCCTGCGCCGCCGCCTGCGCCGCAGGGCATCGCGGCGCGCGACGGCCATCCGTGCGACATCGACAACCTGTGGCTGACCGACGGCGCCAGCCCCGCGGTGCATTACATGATGAAGTTGCTGCTGCGCAACGACCACGACTGCATCCTGTGCCCCATCCCGCAGTACCCGCTCTACTCCGCCACCATCAAGCTCTACGGCGGCACGCTGCTGCCCTACTTCCTGGAGGAGAATGCAGGGTGGCAGACCACGCTGGCGCACCTGCAGGAGCAGGTCCACACGGCGCGCAGGTGCGGCGGAGGTTGTTTGTGGCGGGACGCGACGCGCAGCTGTCTCCTTCCCTCCTCTCGCTGCCCTTCCCACACTCTTGACTACAGTCACACCTGACCTGCCTCCTGCTGTCAACCACCTGTCCTTGCTGCGCATTCTGCCTGCCTGCAGCCAGGGCAAGCAGGTGCGGGCGCTGGTGGTTATCAACCCGGGCAACCCCACGGGCCAGGTGCTGGACCGCGAGAACCAGGAGCTGCTGGTCAAGTTCTGCAAGCAGGTGGGGTGCGGCTCCGGTTGCGGTGGACTGGGTTGGCGAGGTACAGCTGGGTTCGGCGGGCGGGCGACCCTGTCAACAGGGAGAGGTAGCGGGTGCAGCAAATCGTGTGGGGCTGCCAGCCACCCGAGCTCTCCAAGGCAATGCTGCTCACCACATGCTTGCTCACTGCCTGCCTGCCTGGGCTGCCGGGGTCATGCAGGAGTGCCTGGTGCTGATTGCGGACGAGGTGTACCAGACCAACATCTACGCCGCCGGCAAGGAGTTCTTCTCCTTCAAAAAGGCAAGCAGAAGAAAGAACAGGGATGCTGCTTGGAGGCTGAAGGGCGGGGGCATAAAAGCATGCCACGCCCATTCCGCCGCCCTGCAAGCAGCGCTGTCGGCTGCCTCCTCACCTGAAGCTGCCTGCATACCTGCCCTGCCACCTTCCCCGTTGCCCACCTTACCCGCCGTGGATTCCCCCTGGCCCTGCCGCAGGTGCTGATGGAGATGGGCCCCGAGTACAAGGACAGCGTGGCGCTGGTATCCATGAACTCAATCTCCAAGGGCTTCTTTGGGGAGTGCGGCAGGTGGGTCAGAGGGGGCGAGATGGCGACAGTCTCTTTGCGGGCATACGCAGAGAGGGCCGGCGCTGCTTGAACCGGGGTGCTCCTTCCCTCGCAAGCAGGATAACCGGCCTCATCTAGTGCTCACCTGACGAGCTGCTGCCTCCTGCTGCCGTCCGGCTGTGCGCGTGCAGGCGTGGCGGGTACTTCGAGTGCGTCAACTTTCCGACTGCCGTCAAGGAGCAGCTGTACAAGCTGGCCTCCATCTCGCTGTGCCCCAACCTCAGCGGCCAGATCTGCATGGTGCGCTGGCCATGCCTGATTGTTTGCGTTCCTGCATGGCATACTCCCACGCACGCTTGGGATGCCTGCCTCTCTTCAAAGGCCGGCCATGCCTCCCCTGAACGCGTGAATCCATTCTTGCACAGGCGCTCATCATGAACCCGCCCAAGCCTGGGGATCCCTCGTACGAGCTGCATACCCAGGAGCGCGATGCCATCCTGTCGGTGAGTTGCGTCTGCGAGGCGCTTTCTTGGTCCCAGAATGCCCCCTCGTCTATGCAGCACGTGTGTGCCAGCCTACTGTCTCGTTCTGACCCTGCCTGCTGTGCTGCCACCTGCGTGCCATGCAGAGCTTGAAGCGGCGGGCTGAGCTGGTGAAGAACACGTTTGACAGCCTGGAGGGCGTGTCTTGCAACCCAGGTGAGGCATGACTGCGGCCTGCCTTGCATGCAGCCTGCCTCGTTGTTTCATGCCACTCGGCAGCCCCTCTCAGCTTGCCTGGCCCCCGATGGAAGGCGCCTGTGCTATTTGCTGCGCCTGCATCCCCTGGAGCGCCTCCCGACCAGCCAGACATAGACCACCACCCACACTGCTCCCCTCGCCCCGCAGTGGAGGGCTCCATGTATGCCTTCCCGCGCCTGACCATGCCAGCGGGCGCCAAGGAGGCAGCGGCGGCCGAGGGCAAGCAGGCCGACTTCCTGTACTGCATGGAGCTGCTGGACCATACCGGCATTGTGACGGTACCAGGCTCGGGTTTTGGCCAGGTGGGGGGAGCGCTGCGGTGCTGCCACCCTGCCGGTGGTGTCGGTGCTGCCGCGACCGCTGAAGCCGCCGCTGCCTGTCTTACGCCGCGTGGGGTGCTGAAACATGTTTGCGCTGCGGCATTCCGTGAGGGGGGAGGTGCGTCATGCCATCGCCCACCCGGTGCGTGCCTGCGCTTTCTGCTCTGATGCAGGAGGCGGGCACGTTCCACGTGCGCACCACCATCCTGCCGCCCGAGTCTGACATGGCGGCGGTTGCCACGAAGTTCTCAGAGTTCCACCAGGCGGGTGTGGGTGCTGTGGCATGGTCAGCTGGGAGGGCTGTTGGGGGCAGGTTTGGAGCCAGGGGGGTCAGCCATCCACCCGTGCCTCACTTGAACAGCGCCGCCTTGGCCCGGCCTGCAGGCCTTCATGAACAAGTACAAAAAGAATGGAGAGGCGTGAAGCGGGTGGCAGCACGTGCGCCGCGAGCGTGGAATGCCATGCTGCCCTTCCAGTGCGGCCGCCCGTGCTGTGCGGCGCTGGACCCTGAACTGCAAGGAATGACATGCAGCAATGCTCTTGCCATGATGGCATACCCTCTGTTAGTATTGGCCAGCGAATGCTGTCTTCTTCTGCATGAATATTTGTTTGCTCCTGACGCCGACCATGCCCACGTGCCTGTTGAGCTCCTTTCAACACCTCATGGGCAATTTTTTGCCCCCAGTTTTTTATTCTCCTTCCTGCTGCTTGCCGCAATCTCCCATCGAAACCAATGCTCCGCATTTGAGCATCTCACGCCTGTAACCACAGGATCAATCATCGAGATCGATTAAGACAGAGACGACTCACTAATTGGATGGGCTGAAAGAAGGGATTGGCAAACACGTGATCAAGGTGGTCCCATGATACAGGCCCGGCAGTCGAGGGATAGCGAAGATACGGCCGCATACCTACGGCCGGAAAGGCGGGCGGGCAGTTGCAAGGGGGGAGTATACCGGTGATGAGAGGCCCACACTGTGGGAGCTTCAGGATCGAAAGCAGCGCTAATAAAACAACGAGCGATCGTGGGAAGGGGCACAGGTTGTAGGACTAAGTGGACAGAAACAGTGGCAAAACAGGCAAGCTGCGGCATGCGGCTCCATCGCACGCTGAATCTACAGCGGCACCCGTTTCTGGCGGCGGCGACAACATGCTGCACCGGCAAAAAAACGGCTGGCGGGGAGAAAACTTTCAGAGTCTCCTATCTGTGGGGCGGGAGGCATGCATCTGGCACTGGGGCCAGCATTCATCAGTGTCGCTACATCATCGTCGTCGTCGGACATTCGTTGGTTGGATCTCAGGGGATGGGGGTCGTGAGTTGCAGTGATTGCAAGCTTGGGTGATCAGGGTTTGGGGGTGGCGCACAGCACGCACGTACTCTTGACGCTCGGGCGCGTTTAAGTGTTGGGTTTGGGCCCGGGGAGCAGGGAGAAAGCGGCCACCTCAGACGGCCAGGGGCCTGCCCAGCAGGCCGCCTGCCTCATCCAGCTCAGCCCAGGTGAAGATACCTCTGCATGGAGACAGGTCGAAAGGTGGGAGGGTGGCAGGCAGGTCGGCAAACAGCCACCGCGGGAGGAATGGGAGTGGGAGGCAGTATGCAGATTCACCCAAGCCATCTGGCTGCTGCCCGTATGGCCAAGCCGCGTGTGGCCTCTGCCGGGAAGCAGCAGCAGGGGCAGCAGCAGGGGCAGCAGCGGCCACGTGGCCGCCGCGCAGCCTTGCTCGGCTGCGCCCCACTCACCCCTGGCTGCGGGTGGCGCCCTCCGGGTGCTTGGCGGGCTGGGTGGCCAGGAAGCGGTTAGCAGCGGCGGCGGCGCCGCGCCCCTCGGCGATGGCCCACACCTGTTGTGCCGGGCAGGGAGGGCAGGGAGCACCAGGCACTTAAGCGCAGCCCAGCGGGTCCAGCGCGGCTCCCCAATGCCTCCCATCCCCAGCAGCAGGCCCACCAGCGAAGGCCAGCGCGGCTCACCACCAGGGACTGCCCGCGCCGGCAGTCTCCCGCAGCAAAGATCCCCTCCATGGAGGTGGCAAACTCGCCGTACTGGGCCTTAAAGTTGGAGCGAGGGTCCAGCTCGATGCCTGTGCCAGCGCAAGGTGGGGTGGGGCGGGGTGAAGGGGCAGGGGCAGGGGCAGGCCGGACAGGGAGCGGCACAGGCGGGCAGGGCGCCGTGCCGCCGCCTGCAAACCCGCCACACGCCCCCACACAAACCCCAGTACTGCCAGGGGTGCCTGGCTGTGCGCCCTGGCTGCCCTCCAGGCACCCGGCTGGATCACGCGCTCACCCAGGGCATCCGCCAGCGTGGCCTCTGGGCCCAGGAAGCCCATGGCCAGCATGCACAGGTCGGCCTCGATGACCCGCTCGCTGCCGGGCACCTCGGCAAACTTGGGGGGGCCGCCCGCGGGGTCGGGCCGCCACTCCACGCTCACAATCTCCAGGCCCTGCACAGGGGCGGGTGGTGGTGGTGGGGGGAGCAAGCAGGATGAGGTTGGTGGCTGGAGAGGTGGAAACCTGGTGCTGGGAGGAAGGATGGCCATTCCCACTCGGCCCGGAATCCCCTGCCATTCCTCTCACTCCCCCAAGCATCAGGTCCAGCACTCCAACCCTCAACGTCCCAGCAAGTCCCAGCCACCACCCCTCAGCTAGCCGCCACCAACCAGCCAGGCCAGCACACCTTGAGGTTGCCCTCGCCGTCGTCGATGAAGCGCTTGGTGAGCACCTCGTACACGCGAGGGTCCTGGCCGTACACGTGGGCCGCCTCGGCGTGGCCATAGTCAACCTTGAACACGCTGCGGGGTAGCCCAGGGGGAGGGGAGGGTGCAGGGGGGAGAGGAGGGAGGTGAGGTGGGGGGTAGGGTAGGGCGAGGCAGGGCAGAGAGTAGGGGAGGGGGCTGCGGGCGGAAGCCAGGCGCTGCCGGGCCGGGACCGCTCACCGCGGGTAGTAGGGCCAGGGGTTGTTGGGGGCGCGCGTCTCGGGCGGCTTGCTGAGCAGCTCCAGGTTGACGACCTGGGTGGCGCCTGCGGCGGGGACGAAAGAATGGGCGCAAGGGATGAAGGCCGCGCAGAGGTGGAGCCGCGGCGCGCGCATGCAGCCCTGCCCCAGCCCTGCCGCCACCCACAGCACCACGCACGCGCACACACACGCACACTCGAGCGCCGGGCAAGCCACCCACCATGGCGCACGCTGGTGCCGATGCAGTCTGTGCCGGTGTCTCCGCCGCCAATCACCACCACCTTCTTGCCCTGGGCGGAGATGTAGGCGCCGTCCTGCAGGTTGCTGTCCAGCAGCGACTTGGTGTTGGCGTGCAGGAACTCCATGGCAAAGTGCACGCCCTTGAGGCCCCTGCAGGCGGGGGTGGGAGGGGAGGGGAGAGGGGGAGAACAGGAAGGGAGGGTGAGGAGGTTGGGCAGCAGGGAGGCGGCATGAGCGAGGGACGGAGGAGGTGGCAGCAGACGAGGTTGAATCAGGCAGGCAGGCAGGCAGGCAGGCAGGCAGGCAGGCAGGCAGGCAGGCAGGCAGGCAGGCAGGCAGGCTGGCAGGCAGGCAGGCTGGCAGGCTGGCAGGCTGGCAGGCTGCACCCACCGGCCCTCGATGGGCAGGTCGCGCGGCTTGGTGGCGCCCGCGGCCAGCACCACCACGTCGTTGGCGGCCCGGATCTCGGCCATGTCCACCTCCCTGCCCACGTGGGCAGAGGTCACAAAGCGCACCCCCTCCTCAGCCATCAGGTCCACCCGCCGCTGCACAATGTCGATCTGCGGGCGAGGGAGGGAGGGAGGGGGAGGAGGCACTGGCGAGCAGGTGAGCATTTGGCGCGGCAACAGGCCGCACCAGCCCGGCCTCCACCTCCCCCGGAAACAGCCCGCTAGGGCCACCAGGTTCGCACTCCTTCCCGCAACAAACACACACACCACGGCCACCCCTCCTCACCTTGTCGGTCTTCATGTTGGGAACGCCGTACATCATGAGGCCTCCCACGCGGTCAGACCGCTCAAACACGGTCACGCTGTGCCCAGCCTTGTTCAGCTGGTCGGCGGCTGCCATGCCGGCGGGGCCGCCGCCAATGACGGCCACGCGCTTGCCGGTGCGCACCGTGGGCGGGCGGGGCTTGATCCACCCCTCCTCAAAGCCCTGCGTGTGCAGGGGTGGGCGCGGGGGTGGGGGGCAGGAGGGGGGATCAGGGCCAGGCTGAGGAGGGGCTGCAATGCTCTTGAGCATGCTGGGCAGGCGCTACGCTTGAGCGAGAAGCACACAAGGGTCGGGCAAGCGCGTGCCACCTCAGCGACCGTGCCACCTCAGCGACCCCCCACCACACACACACACTCACACACCTTGTCCACGATGGACACCTCCATGGTCTTGATGGTCACCGGGTTCTGGTTGATGCCCAGCACGCAGGAGCCTTCGCAGGGGGCAGGGCACACGCGGCCTGCACGCGCACGGGCCAAGTGCAGACACGAGGGTCAGCAAACGCGGCAGTGCGAGCCAGTGCACAGGCCACACGACCCGGCGACAGCACAGCGCTGGCTCGGGGCCGTTCGCCACTCCCGTCCACTACCACACCACACCCACACCCATCCACCACCACATCTGCACCCCCACCCGCACCACACCCACCCGTGAACTCTGGGAAGTTGTTGGTTTCCAGCAGGCGGTTGAGCGCCTCCTGCCACCGCCCCTGGTGCACCAGCGCATTCCACTCGGGGATCAGGTTGCCCAGCGGGCAGCCGGTGGTCTTGTTGAGGCAGTAGGGCGTGCCGCAGTCCATGCAGCGGGCCGCCTGCGTGTTGAGCAGCTGGGCCTGCTTCTCGGCGGGCAGCTGCAGCACAGGGGGGGTTAGGGGAGGTAGCAGGCGGGGTCGTCGGTGGGGGAGATGTTGGTCGGTGGTGGTATGGGCGGTGGATGGAGTGGACAGCAAGCAGTGAGGATGCAGGAGGCCCATAGCCAGCACGCTGGCAAGGAAACAACCCAAGGGGCTCTGCTGCTCGCCTGTGGTGTCCCAAAACCACTCCCATCCTCTCTGCCCCCGCGATTCCCACCCACAACCCTGCCACCCCAGCCCCACTCACGTGCGCGTGCACCTCCTTCCAGTCCTCCACCCGCTCCTCCACAGGCCGGTAGGGCAGCGGCTCGCGCTCGTACGTGATGAAGCCGCGCGGCTTCTGCGCCGACAGGTCAGACACCACGGTGGGGCGCCCCGCATCCCACACAGGCTTGCGCCCGGCCACGGGCAGGCCGTCGGTGGCGTCGCGCAGCAGCTTGGCAAAGTATTGCTGCAGGGGAGGAGGCGGGCAGGGGGAAGGGGAGGTGTTGGTGTGTGCTGTGCAGGAAGGTGCAGCGAGGTCTGGGGTGGAGCAGGGAGTTCGTAGGGTGGGTGGAGGGAGGGGGCACGAGCCGCGCCGCCTCAGGTGCACCCCTACCGGCAGCCCGCTTCCCGCAATGCCGGCTGCTGCCTCACCTTGGCCTCCTCGGGAGACACAGGCCCTGCGCCGTTGCCGTTGCCGTTGCCGTTCTTCGCCGCGGCTGGCAGCAGGGTGTTGATGATGGCGGGCTCGCGCTTCACCACTGCAGGCGGAACGAGCACCGCAGCTGGCTCACAGAACCGCCTGCCGCAAGACGGCTGTCCCTCCCCAAACCCCACACCCGCCCAAGCACCGTCGCCGCGCCTCGCCACCAGCTAAACCACGAAACAGACCGGCTAAAACCAATTCCCAAAGGAGGGCTCACCCTCCACCGCCATTTTCTTCAGCTCCTCAAAGGCATCCACACCGCTGGTGTCCTTGAGCACCTCCGCCCCGGCAGCCTGCGCCGCCTTGAGCTTTGCGGCCTCATCCACGGCGCGGCGGAACTCGCGAGGCCACACCTGCAGGCAGGCGGGCAAGGGGAAGCGTGAGAACAGGGAGGATTTGAGGCTGCTAGTGGCCGGCGTGTTTCACCGCATGCAGGTCCTGCCAGGCTCTTGGGCTGGGGGCGCAACCAGGCAGCAGTCAATCAAGGCAGGCAGCGACAGCTCCGCTACATCAGCCAAATCTCCGTCTCCCGATCTCTGTTCCCCACGCCTAACCACCACCACACCACACCACGCCACACACCTTACCACCACCCCGCCATGCTACCTACCTTCACAAAGTTGCGGCTCTCGGTGTCCCAGTCCAGCAGCAGGCGTCGCCCCACGGTGGAGTTGGTGTACTTGACGTGGCGCTGGATGAGGGAGCGAAGGTGGGTCAGGTCCTGCAGGCGGCGTGGGAGGGTGCAAGCCGGCGGCGGCGGTTGCTAAGGGACGGGCAAATGGAGGGCCGGCGGGGGGGAGGAAGCACACGTGCAGTTGGCATCTAAGCAACCTGGCAGGCCGGCGGATCTGTTGGATCTTTTGCACTACCTGCACAACGCGACCGCCCTCCCCACCCTCCCCAAACCTCCACCCCCACCCCACCCACCTTGCCGTCCTCGACCGGGAACAGGTCCTGCGCCACATCCACGTTGCACAGCGGCGCAAAGCGGTGCTGTGGGTCGTACACAAAGGCCACGCCGCCGCTCATGCCCGCCCCAAAGTTCTTGCCGGTGCGCCCCAGCACGACGGCGGTGCCGCCCGTCATGTACTCGCAGCCGTGGTCGCCGCACCCCTCCACCACCGCGTGCGCCCCCGAGTTGCGCACGCAGAAGCGCTCGGCGGCCACGCCGCGGAAGTAGGCCTCGCCGCGGGTGGCGCCTGCGGGAGGCGGGTGACAGGCCGCAGGCACAGCGCTGCTGATGTTCCTGCTTCGAGAGCCACCCCACCCAGCTCCCTTGCCAGCCCTGCCTTCCACAGCCTCCTCCACACCAACAGCCAGCCAAGCAGCACAGCCAAGCCAGCATAACCAATGGTCGGAGCGGCGGTTGCTGCCCGCTCGTGCGACACCCACCATACAGCACCACGTTGCCCACGATGATGTTGTCCTCCGCGGCAAAGGTGGACTCGCGCGGCGGGTAGACCGCAATCACGCCGCCAGACAGGCCCTGCGTAGTGGGTGGGTGGGGGATGAAGGGGGCGGCGGTGTGCAGCATGTGCTGGACAATTGGACAGCCACTGCTCAACAACAGCCAGCCTCAGATACTGCAAAGAAAGAATGGTATGGGAAGGAAGGCAGGAACACAGAAGGCCAGGCGGCTGCAGCCGCACCTTGCTGACGTAGTCGTTTGCATCCCCCTCCAGCTCCAGCGTGATGCCGTGGCACAGCCAGGCGCCCAGCGACTGGCCTGCGTGGCCCGACAGCTTGATGTGCACGGTGCCCTCGGGCAGGCCCTCCAGGCCGAACCGCTTGGTCACCTCGTGCGACAGCGTGGTGCCCACAGCCCTGCGGGAGGGGTGGCGCCCCAGGAGGAGGAACGCATAGGAGCGGGAGCATGTCAGAACACAGGCGAGTGGCGAGGGTGGGCACGGCGCCAGCCTGGTAGCGCAAGCGGTGTGCCGGAGCGGCGCCCAGGGCAGCAGCCAAACAGCAGGAGCCGGCGCCAGGAGCGCAGCCCAGCGCACCTGTGCGTGTTCACCACCTCCGTCTCCACATACACCGCCTGCGGCTTGGCGTCGCTGCCGGGGTCGGGCAGCGCTGCGGAGCAGAGCTGCAGGCGGGAGGGGCGGGGTGGGGGGCAAGGCATGAGCCAGCGGTGCAGCGCAAGCGGCGGTGCCGGGCGCAGCAGCAGGAGAGGCCGCTGGCGGGGCACCCGGCGCACGCACGGCGCCGCGCGCCCACCTGCACCAGCTTGCCGTCCAGGCCCGTCTCCAGCCCGTGGTCCTGCTTCTGCACGCAGACCTGGGCCGCGCCTGGGCGCAGGCTGGCGGCGGGGGTCAGCATCTTGGACAGGTCCACCTTGGCCAGCTTTGGGTTGGCCTTCACCACCTCCTCATCCACCTCCAGCATCTCGGCGTGGCCCACCATGTCCTCCACAGTGCGGAAGCCCATCTCTGCGGCACGGGAGGCAGGCGGAGAGGCACCAGGGGGGTGGTGTGAGCGGCAGCAGGCGACGAGGGGCCAGCCAGGGCAGGAGGGCGGGCAGGCAGCCAGGCGTGCATGAGGCGAGGCCAAGCAGGTTGCGCAGCAGGCAGCGGCAAGAAGCCACCGCGTCTGCTGACCCAGCCGGATCGGGTGTCAGCTGTCAGCTCAGCCGCCGCCAGCTCAGCTCACCCGCCATGTACTCGCGCATCTCCTCTGCCACCATGAACAAGAAGTTGATGACGTGCTCCGGCTGGCCGGCAAACTTGGCGCGCAGCACAGGGTCCTGCGCGGAGAAGCGGGGGAGGGGTGGAGGTGGGCACGCCTGGCTGCCATGGATGCCTCGCTCCAGCTGCGAACGCGAGCGTCCGCCTGGCTGGCCCGAATCGGCAAGCTCAGGTGGAGAAGCGCCGGCTCCCTGCCCACAGATTGCAGGTCTGCCCGCGTGCCTGGGTGGCGATGCCCACGGGGCAGGTGTTGGTGTGGCACTTGCGCATCATGATGCAGCCCATGGCGATGAGCGGGGCGGTGGCAAAGCCAAATTCCTCGGCGCCCAGCAGCGCCGCTACCGCAATGTCGCGGCCCGTCTTCATCTGCCCGTCAGCCTGCGGGTGCACAACCGGCAACCGGAGCAAAGTGAGGATCAAGTGCGTGTGTCTACTGGCCGGCGGTGGTGTGGCCGATCCGGCCCCGCGTGCGCCCAGCAGCCACCACCGCATGCCATGACATGGCCCCCGCCGCTCAATCGCAGATGCCAGCGGCGGTGGCACCACCACCTTGCTGCACTGCCCACCTGCAGCACGGTGCGGCCGCGCAGGTCGTTGGCCACCAGGGTCTGGTGGGTCTCAGCCAGGCCCAGCTCCCAGGGCAGGCCAGCCGCCTTGATGGAGGTCCACTTGGCGGCGCCGGTGCCGCCGTCGTGGCCGCTGATCAAAACGTGGTCGGCGTGGCCTGGATGGGTGGTGGGGGAGGGAGCGGCAGGAAGCAGCAGGGGGGGAAAGCCGGATGGAAGCTGGATGGGGGCGGGCACCAGCATTGCAGGGTGTGACGCGGCTCGGGGGCACAGCTGACGCGCTGCCGCGTACGGCGCTGCCGCGCACTGTTCTCTGCCAACCGTACGGCTCCTCTGAGGTGGCAGGCGTCGCCCAGCCACAGCAGCAGCAGCAGCAGCAGCAGCAGCAATGAACAACAGTGAAGAAGAAAGGAGGAGAGAGGAGAGAAGCCAGGCGGCTCACCCTTGACCACGCCCGAGGCCACCACGCCCACGCCGTTCTCCGACACCAGCTTCACGCTGACGCGGGCGGCCGGGTTGGAGCTCTTCAGGTCGTAAATCAGCTGGGCCAGGTCTGCGGTAGGATCCGGAAAGAGCAGAGAGAGGGGCGTCGGAGGCAAGCAAGGACGCCGGCGGCGGTGGGCGGAGCGCAGCAGCGTGCAGCAGCGCTCGGGCGTATCAGCAGCGCGCAGGGGGGCCCCCACGCCTGGCCAGCGCGCTGCTGGCGCTGAGCTGGCGGTGCTGTTGAGCTAGCGGGCGCACCCTCAATTGAGTAGATGTCGTGGTGCGGGGGCGGGGAGATGAGGCCCACGCTGGGGGTGGAGCTACGGGTCACCGCAATGTCGCCCTGCACGTGGAGGAAGAGGAGGCAGGCACGCATCGAGGGGCACGCTCCCGGCAATGAGAGCGCCACATGCCAAAATGTTGGCCAGCAGCCCCTCGCCACCATCTCGCGCCGCCAGCTTCCTTGCCCCGCTCCACCGCCGCCCTGCCCCGCCGCGGCGACTCACCGCCACTTTGTGGCCAGGCAGCTCGCCGCCCTCGCCGGGCTTGGCGCCCTGCGCAATCTTGATCTGCAGCTCGTCGGCGTTGGTGAGGTAGTGGGCGGTGACGCCAAAGCGACCCGAGGCGATCTGCTTGATGGCGGAGCGCATGGGGTTGTGCGAGCCGTCGGGGTTGGGCACCAGGCGCCGAGGGTTCTCCCCGCCCTCACCCGTGTTGCTCTTGCCTGCAGGCCGGGAGCGCGGCAGGGGGCGGGGCGGTGAGCAGAGGGCTCACGAGGCTTGCGCATTCCGTGTGCAGCCCGAGGGCAAAGGGGGGGTACGTGTACGCAGGTGGACGGGAGAGGAAGGAACACAACAGACATGATCTGCGCTTGTGCTGCAGCGCGCGAGCCCACCTCCCAGCGCGTTCATGGCGATGGCCAGGGTGGTGTGCGCCTCCAGGCTGATGGAGCCGTAGGACATGGCACCCGTGCAGAAGCGCTTCACAACCTCCTTGGCGGGCTCCACCTGGGAGGCGGGCGGGGGCGGGGGGGGCACAGGGTGGAATGGGTTTTGGGGGTGCGTGCGCGAGAGGGGGGACAGCAGCACAACGGCCGTGCAGGCTGAAGGCATGCAGGGTGCAGCGCAGGCGGCCAGCAGCAGCTCGGCAGCCCGGCGCCGCCGCCGCCTGCCGCACCTCGTTCAGCGCGAGCGGGGTGGCCGCCTTCTTGAAGCGCAGCATGCCGCGCAAGTTGATCTGCTTGTTCAGCTCCTGCGTGAGCTTGGAGTACTCCTTGTAGGCGGCGGTGCTGCGAGGGAGGGGAGCAAACATAAAGGAGGAGTGAGAGAGACTGGTTGAATGTGTGAGGCGAGGGTTGAGGGAAGGAGCGTGAGGATGGGCTTGTGGGGGCTCCAACTATGGGGGCGGCAGCAGCGGGCGCGGCGGGGCAAACACATGCCATGGAGGGAGGGCTGACCAGGCGGCGCCCCACCTGCCGGTGCGCGCCGCCTCCTGAAGCTTGGCCATGGCGATGGGATCGTTCAGGTGCACCTCGTGGTCAACGGTGGACCTGCGGGGGCCGCCAGGGGGTGAGCGAGGTCAACGCAAATGCTGGGAAGATGCCAGGGGCGAGCCAATCAGCGCCAGCAGCGCCTCCCTGTTCCTGCCCCTGCTCCTCGTGCCCCCGCCCTGCACACACCTGAAGTGGTAGTCGCCCGGGTCGGGCAGCATGAGGTCGCGCTCCTGGCGGCCGTAGGCCATGGCATGCAGGCGCAGCTGGTCCTGGGCCAGCTGCTCAAACGACACGCCGCCGATGCGGGAGGCGGTGCCGGTGAAGCAGGAGCGGATGACGTCGGCGCCCAGGCCCAGCGCCTCAAAGATCTGGGAGCCCTTGTAGGAGGCGATGGTGGAGATGCCGATCTTGGCCATGACCTTGAGGATGCCGTCGGTGACGGCCTGCGGGAGGAACGCAGGAGGCCAGCAACGCAATCAGATCGACTGGCAACTTGGTTGATGGGCCTCGGCGCGTCGACCACCACCGCCCCGCTCACACGCGCACACAGATGGCGCCCCCAGCCCCCAGCGGCCCCCCCCCCCCACACACACCTTGATGTAGTTGTCCCGCATCTTCTCCTGCGTCATGTTGGGCGGGATGTGTCCGTCCTCCTGCAGCGCCGACAGCGTGTCAAAGGCAAGGTAGGGGCAGATGGCGTCCACGCCGTAGCCCAGCAGCAGGCAGAAGTGGTGGACCTGCAGGGAGCGGGAGGGGAGGGAGCAGGGGGGAGGGGTGCCAGCGTTGAGTCCCAGGCGGGAGGGCAGGTCCGCTTGGCGCCGAGGCGCAAGGCGGCACGCAGCCCCGCTGCCAAACCATTCCGCTGCCGCTGCTGCGGCTGGCGGGGCGGCGCGCAACAGGCGGCGGCGGCGGCGGCGGAGGCGGCGGCCCACCTCCCGAGCCTCGGCCGTCTCCAGCACCAGGCCCACGCGGGACCGCTTCTGCAGCGTGACCAGGTGGTGGTGCACGTGGCCCACCGCCATCAGGCTGCTCATGGCCACACGGTCATGGCCTGCACAGCCACGGGGACAGGACGCATGGCGCGGCACGGCACAGGGGTGAGGCGAGGCGGGGACAGCGGGCGCCGCAGCGTGCAGGGCACAGGTGCGAGCGCCACGAGGCGAGCCTCGCCATCGGCGCCCCCCGCGTGCCCGCTCCACCCCAAGCCCACCCAGCCACCCACCGGCGTTGCGGTCAGACAGCACCACAAAGTCGAAGCCGTCGTCAATGGCCTGCGCAGCCTCCTCAGCCACCCGCTGCAGCGCCTCCACCAGGCCGGCGGCGCCCTCGGCCACGGGCCAGGTGCAGTCCACCACCTGCAGGTGTGGAGGGGGGCCAGCAGCGGGGGGGCGTGAGGCGGCACACACAAGCACGGCAGAGAAGCAACCACAAGGAAGCCCAGCAAAGCAGCCCGGAACTAACTTCCGGCGCAAGCCGCCTCGGGCGCCACCCGGCACTGCCACGCCGGCGCCACCTCAGCACCGGCGCCTCACCCGCGTCTCCCAGCCCCGGAAGCTCATCGCCTTGATGGCCTCCAGCTCCTCGGGCTTGAGCAGAGGGGAGTGCAGGTCCAGGCGGTTGGCCTGGCCGGGGCTCACGGGGGCTGCACAAGCGGGCAGGCGAGGTGGCATGCGTCGTGTGCATGTGCGGAGGCACACTGCTCCCAGCCTCGTGCTGCCAAGGGCCCGCGGGCCTTCCAGGCCCAGCCTGCCCCTCGCCCTGCCCCCCGCCCCGCAATGGCGCCTGCCCCTCTCACCGCTGATGTCTCCCTCGGGGCCCACCATGCACCGCGGGCTGGTCACAAACTTCTCGCGGATGGGGTCGATGGCGGGGTTGGTGACCTGAGCAAAGAGCTGCTTGAAGTACTCGTACATCAGCTTGGGGCGCTGGCTGCAGGGCGGCGGGAGGGAAGAAAGGGGGGCAGGGCAGCGCGGCACGCCGACAGGGGCGTCAGCGGGCAGCGGGGGTGGGCACGAACCAGGTGCTGGCGCAGATGTGCGGAGCGCAACACACTGGCATCCACACAGAGCTGCCATGCAGCCGGCCGCCCCAGCCCCGCACCTCATGTGCGCCAGCGGCGCGTCGTTGCCCATGGAGCCCAGCGGGTCGGCGCCGGCCTTGGCCATGGGCGCCAGCATCACCTCCAGGGTCTCCACCTGCGGCCAGGCGAGAGGAGGGCGGGTTTGGGGGGTGTCAGTCGCCGGGCAGGCAGCAGTAGGACGACCACCCAGGCCCTTGCCAGCGGTCCAGCTTCATTGGTCGAGGCAGGGTGCCCACAACCAAGCCAGGCTGCCCGCAATCCAACCCACCGTGTAGCCAAAGGCCTTGAGGGGCTTGATGAGGCGCGACACGCCCTTGGTGGGCGCGCCGTTGCCGTTGCCGTTCGTCGCGGTGGCGTCAAAGGCGGGGGTGGCCTCGCGGATTGGAGGAGGGATGAGCACCTTGTCGGGCACGCTGCGCGCAATCTGCTCCACGGTCACCACCTCCTGTGCCAGCCACTCGCCGTACGGCTTGGCGCTGCTGTACCGCTTCTTCATCTGCGGTACAGGACCGGGGGTGGGCCACAGGCATGCAGGTGTGTGGTGGCACATGGACAGGCTCGGTCTGTGCCATGCCCCAGCCTCTCTTCAGGCATGGCAAGATGCCAATCAAGGCCTGAGGGTCCAAAACATGGCCATGTCGGCAAACACCGCCAGCCTTGGGGACCCCGACAGGCCGCCCACCTCCTCGTCGTCGATGACGGAGTGTGCGTCAAAGTCGACCAGCAGGATGTTGCCGGGCATGAGGCGCCCCTTCTTCTCCACATCCTGGGGCGGGATGTCCACCACCCCCACCTCGCTTCCCATGATCACGCGACCGGTCTTGGTGACGTAAAACCTGCGTCAGGGGAGGGCATAGCGGCAGGGCAGGAGTGGAAGGTGCAACAAAGCGCACTCCGGCTGCCTGGCAAAAGGGCCTCGCTCTCCCCAGCCTCTTGACCTGCAGCAGGCAAGCCCTCCACAGACCCCACCACCACTGAACCCCACCACCCGACACATGCACACACAAGCAGCAGCGCCCTGCTGCACCTGCCGGGGCGCAGCCCGTTGCGGTCCAGCGTGGCGCCGATGAAGCGCCCGTCTGTGAAGGCCACCAGGGCGGGGCCGTCCCAGGGCTCCATGATGGCGCTGTGGAACTTGTAAAAGTCCTTCTTCTCCTGCGGGGGGCCAAGCAGCCAGGCGGCGGGTGGAGGAAAGGTCAGGTGGCAGCTGGTTCAAGGTGGAAACGCGCTCCAGCGGCCGCTCTGCCTCCCTGCCCCTTGGCACCCTCACCGAGCCCCATCCCTCTTCTCGGCAGCTCCCCTCCCGCACAGCACACGGCCCATCCACCAGCCCGCCACCACCTCCCGCCGCACCTGGGGCATGAGCTTGTCGTTCTGCCAGGCCTCTGGGATCATCAGCATGACGGCCTGCGCGATGTCGCGCCCCGTGCGCACCAGCAGCTCCAGCACCGCATCAAAGGAGCCGGAGTCGGACTGGGAGGCGGGCACGATGGGCAGCAGCTGCAGCAGGAAAGATTGCGGCAGTATACGGTATCGGCAACAGGTGGATGAAGTGGCGCACGGGGCGGAGGGGGAGACAGGGTGAGCCGGGGGCGGGCATGGAAGGAGCAGGGTCGCAAGCGGCTGGCTGCCGCGGCCGTAGCGAGCCCCCGCGCCCGCACCTTCTGCAGCGTGCGCTCGCTGAGGCCCAGCGGCTCGCACTTCATCACCCCCTGCCTCGACTTCATCCAGTTGACGTTGCCGCGCAGCGTGTTGATCTCGCCTGTGGGGGCAGGAGCGTGGTGTGGCGTGGTGTGGTGAGGGGTGTGAGTGTGGCATGGTGGGGCGGGGCGAAGAGCGCAGCTGAATGGAAGGAGGGAACCGCTGGCAGTACAGCGCCGTCAGTGCCGCCCTCGGCGCACCGTTGTGCCCCAGCATGCGCATGGGCTGGGCGCGGTGCCAGGATGGGAAGGTGTTGGTGGAGAAGCGGGAGTGGACCAGGGCCATGTAGGAGGTGAAGTGCTCTGACTGGAGGTCCAGGTAGTACAGCGGCACCTGCGCAGGAAGTGGGGCGCGGTGTGGTGACGCGGCGGTGGTCCAGCACGCGGCGGCGGGGGTGGGGGTGAAACACAAATTCCTGCGTCGATGACCCAACGTCCCACGGCGCGGCCTGCCCGGTGCTCCCTCCCCTGCCAGAGGCAAGTATCCTCAGCCCAGCGACAGGGCCCGCGGCCCACCTGCTCGGGCGTCAGCTGGCCCTTGTACACAATGGTGCGGGAGGAGAGGGAGCAGAAGTAGCAGTCGTCCTCGGTGAGCCCGCTGGTGCGCAGGCGGTGCTCAATGAGCTTGCGCAGCACGTACATCTGCGGAACAGGAGGTGGCACGCACCTCAGGCGGGGCACGACAATGTGCAGCGCGTGGAAAGACAGCAGCGTGGCAGGCACCCCAGGCAGCAGGGTGCGGCGCGGCGGCTGCAGGGGTGCACCTGGCGCTCCAGCGGCAGCACCCGCTCGCCCTCGTTGGCGGCGCGCAGCACAAAGAACTGCTCCACCACGGGCTCGGTCTTCACCGCGCTGTCGCCCAGCGTGCTGCAGCAGGGCAGCGCCGAGCAGGGGATCGGAGCAGAGGCAGCACCGGCAGGGCCGTGCAACTGAACCTTGCGGCTTCCAGCTGGCGCGAGCAGCGCCGCCTGCCTTCCCCGCGCCCCTGCCCACTCGTGTTGCCGGGGGCCGGGCAGAGGCGCAGGCCTGCGGTTGGCGTTATGCATCCAGCTCCTCCCTCCCTCCACCCGCCCACCCACCCACCTGTTGTCCGTGGGCACTCGGCGCCAGCCCAGCACGGTGTGGCCCTGGTTGGCTGCCACCTTGTGGATGGCGGCCTTGGCCTTCTCGTACGTCTCCTCGTCGTGCGGCAGGAACACCTGGCCCACAGCATAGTCGCCCTGCAGACGCGCGGGCGGGCAGGCGGGATGGGCGAGGAGCAGGCTGCGTGGTGGGCCAGCCCCCGCCACCCTGGAAGGCAGCTGCCTCTCCGCCTTCCTGGCTGCTGAGCCCAGGAACGCATCCCCAGCTCGCCAGAGCGCACCAGCGGCGGCAGCTCGATGCCGCACTCCTTTTCCACCACCATGGAGAGGAAGAGGTGGGGGATGGCCACCAGGATGCCGGCGCCGTCGCCTGCACGCACAGGCGTCACCACACGCTCAGCCCCATGCCCTCTAATGGGACAGCCTGGGTACCGCTGCATCTACGCCTGCACACGGCTCGCCACCACGACGCCAGGCTCACTCGCACGCACCTGTGTTGACCTCGCATCCGCAGGCGCCACGGTGCGACATGCGCTTGAGCATCTCCAGCGCCTCTGTCACCGTCTTCCGCTGGGGCTCCTTGGACAGCTCTGCAGCGGGGTGGGCAGGGCTCTTGCTACGCCACAAGGCATGGCACAAGGAATGCAGGCGCCACGCGCCGGGTCGCACCTGCCACAAAGCCCACGCCGCACGAATCCTTGTCATTTTCCGGATTAAACAGGCCTTGGGCCTCAGGGATGGCAGAGTGCTTGCTCACCACCTGCATTAGGCGGTCAGGCGGTCAGGCAGGCGGGGTGGGCAGGCAGCGGCGGCAGCAGCGAGGCGGCGGCGGCGGCATCGCCCCCTTGGCCGCCGCGATCAACCATTGACCATCACTTGGGCGACAGCACCCGGGGGCGCGGTGGCAGGCTGTGCTGAGCAGCAAACGCGGCCCTTGATCTGCATGCAGGGTTTCCTCTAGGGCACCAGGCGGCACCCTGGCGGGCGTCCTCTCACCTGTAGCTTGCTGCCCCGACCCGCCCGTAGGGGGCCGCAGCGCAGGGTCACAGTCTTTGCATGAAGCCCCAGTGATGCGCCCCGGCCGCGAAGCCCAAAATATGATGGGAAGGCAAACGCAGCTGGCCTGGATGATCCTAGGAGGTTGGAATACACCGTGCGGTGACCCAAGGAGGCCATCGCCGAGCAAGGGCTTCGCAGAACCTTTGCCCACTTCGCCACACCCCGCGTATGCCCTCTGCTGCAAAGCTGGAGGGTTGACAGAGGGGCGAAACGTCCATATCCAGCGGTCCAGCGGCATGAACATGCGCCGCCATGTCGGCACGCAATCTATTTCGTTGATTATTCCTCGCCAAAATGCTGGTTTGCAGTGGAGGTGCAATCAGTGTTTGACGAGCTGCGTTGCAGCCGGCGCCAGCAAGGGTTTGCCGAGGGCGGCACCCTAAGCTCGCTCAGCACACTTTGAAGCTCCCTTCGTGCGATTCAATGTACTTGTTGGATTCAATGCATGGGCAGGACAGGCAGGCGGGGGCCTGTAGGCACCCGGTGAGCGGGGCCGGCCCCGGCGGCGCTGGTGGCGGCGGTGGCAGGCGGCGCAGGCGCCGGGCATGCAGCAGTGCCCCCCTCCCGGCCCACCTGGCGTGGTCCAGGGGGAAGTTTCTGTTGATGTCCAGCGCATTGGCCGCTTTGCGCCGCAGCTCCGACCCAGCCTCGTTCATCCGCCTGCAGTGTCGCAGCAGGGGGCCTGCCGGTCTCCCAGGCATGCTGCGCCAGCAGCACGCACTCATTGTCGGCCTACCTCTCCGCATTGGTCCACAGTGCATCAGGTGGCCGTGCCGCTTCAGTACTCTCAGGCTGTTGCGGGTGGTGCTCCCTGCGGCCTGGTCAGGGATCCAGCTTGGCTTGGAGGTCATCTGATGAGCCCGCCTGTCACTCTCGGCCAGCCCAACAGCCTTGCCTTCCAGCACGCCTTGGCGGCCTGCATGCTGGCGCCAGCTCGGCACAGGCGGGAGCATGACATCCGAAAGTGCAGCCAACTCGCTGGCTGCCTGCATGACCAGCACAGCTGGGAGCATGTGTTGAAATCCGAAAGTGCAGCTAGCTGCTCCTCCCGTCGCCGTTGCCTGCCAACCCATGCGGTCTGCCCTCGGAGGTACGAATGCGCCCAGGCGCGCCATCTCAGACAGCCGCCGCATGGCGGTTAGGGATAACAATGATGGCAGATGCAGAGAATAGCTGAAAGCCAGAAATGAAAGGCTGATACAGACGAGGAAAAACTAGGGCGTGGTTTGAGCTGAGCAAAACAGGGGGGGCAAGCGTCAGCCCAGGGGCAGCGGCGTTGGTTGGGACCTTGGCCTCCGCCTCATGCCATTGCCAGGCTCAGCTCCTTTGCATTCACAATGCTAGGAGCAGCCTTGGGGATGGCATCAAAAGGGCCATCGACAAACGGCAGCACATCGGGCTTGTTCCACACCGGGTGGCCCGAAAGCGTGGCCGCCACGTTGCAGGCCGCGAGCGTGGCCTGCACAGCCACAGTGTTGAGAGGCTTTGTGGCAGACAGGGAGGCACACGTCGCATGCACGAGGCCCTGGATTCCTAGGCCGCTTCCAAGCACATGTCCGCGTTGCGGCTTCCTGCCCATGGCGGTCCCCAAAGATGATGCACAGGCTGCTGGCCCGCCAACCCACCATGCCGGCGCGGGTCCAGAGCGTGGCAGAGGCGATGTGTGGCACGATGACGGCATTCTCACACTCCTCCAGCCCTGGCTTCATGGCCGGCTCATCCTCAAACACATCCAGACCTGTAGTCAGGGCAGGCAGCAGGGCAGCCAGGGTGTGCGTATGGCGACGGCAAAGGGGGCGGCCCATGGAGCGCAGCAGCGTGGCCAGCGCCTGGCACTGCACCCTTGCACCGATCCAGGACCCTCCCAGCGGCCCCGCCTGCCAGCCAGGCACCCCCCGCTCTCCTCCATCCTGCTCTCTGCTGTCGATCCCAGCGACCCGCTCTGCCCCACTGCCCACTGCCCCACTACCCCACTCTGCCCGCTCTGCCCCACTGCCCAGCGACCCGCTCTGCCCCACTCTGCCCGCTCTGCCCCACTGCCCAGCGACCCGCTCTGCCCCACTCTCTGCACTGCAGCACCTCGCTGCACTCTTCCCCGCAGCGCCCGCACCCGCCCGAAAGTTGGGGTTGGCCTTGAGGTGCGCCACCAGGGCGGCCTCGTCGATGCAGGGGCCGCGCGCCGCGTTCACCAGCACCGCATCGGGCTTCATCATGCCCAGCCGCTCCGCATTCATGAGGTGCCGCGTGTTGTCGTCCAGGTTGCAGTGCAGGCTGACCACGTCGGCGCTCCTCAGCACCTCCTCCACCGTCTCGCACCGCTTCACCGTCACCGCCCGCTCACCCTTGCTGGCCAGCAGCTTGCCGTAGTCGCTGCGGGAAAGGAGCATCGGTGGCGGCGCTGGGCTGTCCTGCCCCCTTGCTTCAAGCTCATCAGGCGCCACAGCCCCGACATGTGCAGGTGGCCCCCTGTCTCATGCTAGGCCTCGGCTCCTGCCAACCCACCTCGCCTATTCAGCCACACGTCCAGCCTCCCCCGCTTCCCGCCTCCCGACCCCTGCCCCGCCTCACCTCACATACTCCTCCAGGAACTTGTTTGGGTAGGGGTCGTAGTAGACCAGGTCGCACTTGTGCCCCTCCACCATCATGCGCGCATACGCGGTGCCGATGCGCCCAGCACCCACAATGCCCACCACCTTGTTCTGGAATGGGCACAGGTGCAGGTCCGCAATCGCGCGCACCCCAGCGTGAGCGGGCAGGGTGGGGCACTGGGCTTGAAATTGTGCAGCCTGCTCGCCACTTTCGGGGCTGGTCCCATGCCCCAGCAGCGCCAGGAGCAGGGAGGGCCCTCCCAACAGGACAGGGCTGCTGGAGCGGCTGAATGAGCAGTCGCATCTGGCCGACAGCCCGGCCAGCACCCCAGCATGTGTAGCAGGTATGCGGCAGCCAGCTCAGCAGCCGCACATCTGTCCCCAGCTTGCCTGCAGCAGGTTGCCCACAAACAGGGTGGGCAGCCAGCCCTTGTACTGGCCGCCGCGCATGAAGGTGTCGCCCTCCACAACCCGCCTCGCCGCCGCAAACGTCAGCGCCAGCGCCAGCTCCGCTGTCGTCTCAGTCAGCACGCCTGTGACCCGGTGGCAGGAAGATGACAGGGCTTAAGCAGTACATACAAAAGCAGACTTGGCAGCGCACTCCCTCCCCTGCACGCTCACAGCAAACAGCAAGGCGCCGATGACGTACCGCCCACCCTGGCAGCACCCACCTGGCGTGTTCCCCACCGGGATGCCGACCTTGGTGGCCTCCGGCACCACCACATTGTTGTAACCCACGGCATAGTTGCTGTAGGCGCGGCCGCCAGCCGCCTTGAGCGCTCCAAACAGCTCGGTGCTCCAGTCCTGGAGCGTGCGTATGGCGGGCAGGGTTGGTCAGCTGCTGGGCCTGGGGTAGCAGTCAAATTCCAAGCCCGCTTTGCGGAATTGGCCCAGCGCACATGCTTCATACATGCAGTGACAGGGCAGGCCGCATGGCATGCTGGCAGCAAGGCCCTGGCATAGTAGACTCGCGGCAGCGCAGGCGGCGGCGGCGGGCGGCGGCCGCACCTCTGTCAGCTGCCCGATTACGCCGTCGCACTTGTCCCCAATCAGCTTCTTGATCTTCTCATTGCTCAGGATGGTGTCCGGGTCGCTGCACACCTCCACGCGGCACCCAGCGGCGGTGAGGACCTTGAGCCAGCGATCGCCCGGCAGGTTTTTGGTCACCAGCACGCGCAGGGCACCACCGGCGTTGTGGACCTCCACGGGGACGCCTCCTGCAGTTGCTGTAGACATTGCACGGACGCCGCTGAACACTGCGCGCGATAGCCTCGCGGCAAACATGGAGCAGCCTGCTGGTTTGGGCTGGGGGCGCTGCGGGATGCAATCCCGGCGATGTATATGGCACGATCTGGCGGTCAGAGCTCTTGTTGGGGAGGAGGGTAGTCCTGCAGCAGGACGGCGCATCCGCCGCCCCCGTCCGCCAGCCGCAGACTGGCAGTGAGGCCATCCGTGTCAAGCAGCACTCACTGCGCCACCACAAGGTAATTAATTGCAGTGCAGGGAAGGGGAGCGGGGCGCACGAAGTTGCTCACGGCTAGGCCGCCGCACCGCACCACGGCATTGTGAGCGGCGGCGTCACTGCTCTTCAAGGAAACCCCGCTGCAGGTGCAATGCATCCAGTTTCATACATGATTGACTTGCAAATCAAGAATCGCACTTGACACACTGCGCTGAGAGAGATCCAGCGGCGCACTGCGGCACGTCCCGCCGCCACATCCTGCGCTTGGCAGGAAGGCCACCTGCGAAGTGGTGCTCCATCCCACAAACCTGTGATCACGACCTCAATTGAGGAGATTTGTCGCTGTTTATCAACAACAGTGTGGTGGCGAACCGAGGACCCACACCAACAGAGTTTCTCCCTGCCTGGCCTCCAGAACATCCCTGCGCTCCTCCCCCGCAAACAGCAACACCGCAGGCCCTTTCGGCGCAGCTTGCTGCTGGCCCCCTTTGCTGGGCAGGTTTTCCGGCAAGTCCCGACAACCCCACTGTGACATGACGCTTCCGAAGCTTCCACCACAACCGCCCCCGCCTGGTGGCGGGACCCAGCAGCAGCGGGCGGGGCGGGCGGCGCTGCTGGGTGCCGCGCTGCCATCTGCGTCGGCGGCCGAGAAGACTGCCCTCGCCGAGGTGTCTGCAGCCTTCGGCGGGCTGCTGGCTGACCTACAGTTCTCCTTTGTGGTCTCCTGTGCACGCTCCCACGACTGCCCCATCGTCTTTGCCAGCAACAGCTTCTTCTCCTGCACCGGCTACTCACCGCAGGAAGTGCTTGGTGAGTGTACTGGTGTGGGTGGTTGGGAGTATCAACCTGGATGCTGCTGCCTGGCCATCTGCTGCGCCCCTGATCGAGCCACTCCCTGTGTACGCCGCCGCGCCGCAGGCCGCAACTGCCGCTTCCTGCAAGGCCCGGCCACCAGCCACCAGAGCGTGCTGGAGATTCGGGACGCGATCCGCGAGGAAAGGCCGACCACCGTGTGCCTCTTGAATTATCGCAAGGACAAGACCCCGTTCTGGAATTACTTCCGCCTGGAGCCCATCCGGGCAGAGTGTGGCAACGTGCGGTGGTACATTGGTGTACAGGTGCGTTGGTGGTCCTGGCGCTGTGGCGCAGTCAAGCTCCCAATGTGGCCAGCTCCAGCCACATTTTTTAACAGATACCTGCTGATCTGTGCTGGTGTATGTGCCAGGCTGACGTCACGCGGCTGGTGGAGGCCGGCGGCGGCGCTCCGCTGGAGGCGCTGGGTGTGCAGGGCGAGGCGGCAGCGGCCAGCGTGGCGGCACGCCTGGAGGGCCACGAGCGCGAGCTGGCAGACGCAGACCGCACCCAGAAGTGTGCGGTGCTGGAGTGCGTGCCCTCCTCGCTGCTCACCGCGCTGTCGCGCGTCCAGGACTGCTTCTGCCTGTCAGACCCCAACCTGCCCGACTGCCCCATCGTCTATGCCTCGCCCTCCTTCCTGAAGCTGACCGGTTACTCGTCCGAGTGAGTGGACGGAAGGGGTTGGGGGCCTGGCCGTGGCTATGGCGGTGTGTTTTGTCTTTGTGGGTGGTGGTGCAAGGCTGGGAGAGGTGCGATGGAACGGGCAGCCGTTAAGCTGTAGAGGTGGCTTGGCTGCATTGTCTTGCCTTCAGATGCCACCCAGCCTCATCCTAAACCATCCCCCGCCACCCCCTCCCCTGCCCACGCCTGCTGCAGGGAGGTGGTGGGCCGCAACTGCCGCTTCCTGCAGGGCCCAGGCACTGACCCGGCGGCGGTGGCCCAATTGCGCCAGGCGCTGGCGGCGGTGCCACCTAAGCCTGTGACCGTCACGCTACTCAACTACCGCAAAGCCGATGCAGAAGGCAGACAGCAGCCCTTCTGGAACTCGCTGCACATCTCGCCGCTGCGGGATGCAGGCGAAGGCAATGCAGCAAGGGCCGTTTCGCCCTTGCCATGCATGGGCTTCCTTGCTGGGTTTGGCCTGACCCCTGGAGCCTTGTCGTTCCTAGTCTGGCACTTGCCAGGACGTATGGTTTACTTCCCTGCCAGCCTGCACCCCAAAATGCCATGCAGACGGCAAGGTTCAGTTCTTTGTGGGCGTACAAATGGCGATCAAGGATGACAGGGAGGTGGCAGACGGCGAGGTGGCAGCGGGAGCAGGGGCGGCAGAAGGGGCGGCCAGCGGCGTGCGTGTGCCGCCAGAGGCAGATGCCGTGGTGCTGCTGCGTCAGAAGGGCGTGGTTGGGTCGCTGCGGGTGGCCACCCGTGCGCTGGCGCAGCACGGTCTGCGGCGGGAACGGCAATTCCAGCACACACCCAGCCGTGAGGACTGACCGCCCAGCAGCTGAGCGGAGCGCGCAGCCGCTGAACGAAGCGCACCTATCGATTGACCACCCTTGCAATTTTAATCTATCTTCTGTGAGGCATTTCATTCACCGCTCTGTTCCCTACTCACCAGGCTGTAACTGAAGGATGTATGGCCTACAAGTTGGCCTACAGCAGGGCACACTGGAGGAGGAGGCGAAAGAGCAGGGAGAAGTGCAAAAGCCGGACTGCGAGGGCAGCGCCACGCAGGAAGAATATGGCTCTGCCAATAATGTTGAGGTTGGTGGTTGTTACAGGGATGGGACACATGCAGGGTACAGATGAGGAGGCATGGTAGGCCACCACCTGTCAGGAGTCGGTAATGCATGTGCAGCGAACGACACAGGGTCACCTAGACGGTCTAGCAGTTGCTAAGTGTGTCTGTGAAATGTATGAGGTGACGATCAGAGGGGGATGGGGTAATGGAGAAGGTCAACCATTAATAACAAAACGAACGGGTGACTGGCGAGTATCATTGTTCAGCCAGCCTACGCACCCACTGCTGGCGCTGCTGCTTGAAGCCACGCTTGTCCCAAATCGCCTCCTCCGTCTCTTGCACCGCCCTCGACCCAGGGTCCGCCTGCTCGGCCAGTTCAAGCTGCTCAAAAGCTGCTCGCCATGCTGCAGCAGCTGCCTCCCACTCCAAAGCTAAGCTTGCATGCTCCGTCGCTGGCTGGCAGGCCGCGCGGGCAGCGCTGGCCTCTGCCTTTGCTTCCAGTGCCAATGTCGTGGTGGCCCATGCCGCTGCCGCCGCCGCCGAGGCCTCCGCTGCGGCAGCGCGGGATGCTGGAATGGCTCCATCTGCCAGTGGCGGCCACGCGTGCGCTGCACAAGTGGCACTGGGCTGCTGCTGCGCCACAAGTGTGCTGGGCGTCTGTGAGGCTGCCGGTCTCGTCGGCCTTGCACTGCCCATGGCGGCATATCTCCTCGATCGAAATTCTGTTTCTCGCAGACCTTGCCTGTGCCTCCGCTATTGTCACATTGGCTTCCGCAAGCGCCGCCGTATATTCAGCATCCGCAGCCTTGGATTGAGCAGTCAGCGCCTTGGATTGAGCAATCGTCGCATCGGATTTAGCAATCAGCGCGTCCCACTTTCCCGCTGCTTTGCTCTGCGCAGCAGGGGTGGGATGGCAGCAGCACATGAGCAAGAAGGTGGGCATCTGGCCATGTGCCAACCATGGTCCCACGCTTCCCTGCCGCTGGCGGAGCTCACTTCAGCCACGTGAGGTTGCGATGCCGGTTCTGTTTCAGTCATTGCCAAACCCTTCTCAACCTCTTTCTCCTTCTGCACGAAAGTGGGCAGAGTTCAGCAACTCCACAGGTGGCGGAAACCCCACGCACGTGGCGGCACCGGGCGCTGTAGGGTGTGCAGCTAGCCCAGGTGCACACACAGTGGTACCCACCTGAGGGCTGTCTTGGGATGTGCCGCTCGCTGGTCCCGTGCCGAGTGAGCGAGGTGCAGCCGCGTTGGGCTGCAAAGACCCTCGTGGCTGCCAGGAGGCCGAAACGTCCAAGCGGCCGCGTGATGCTGCTGGGGCCGTCTGGGGGCCGCCTGGAGCTTCATCAGCCTGGGGCAAGCCCCGCAGCCTCTCACCTCCATTCCGGAGGGCACCAGGGGGGTCAGGCTCAGCTGCTGCAGCCCCATTCCTAATGCGTGTGTGTCGAGGAGTGTTTGTTGCAGCAGCCCCATGCTGCAAATGAGACACCCAGCGGGTGAGAGCTAGGTGGCGGCCTGCATGCTGTCGCCAGCTCGGCACAGGCGGGAGCATGAAATCCGAAAGCGCAGCCAACTCTCCTCACGACGCTGGAGCCCACCAAGCCTCCCATGCTGTCACTCTGCGATGTACAGCCTGCAACGCAGCTCACAACCCAGCCCACAGCGCAGTACCATGCAGCGCTGCTGTATTCCCGGCAGCCCCCGCCCAGCACTGCCTCGGTTGCCACTTGCTCTACGTGCAGCCCATGTTGGCACTGAACCCGCACGTAGGGGACCTGTTCAGCCAGGCAGGGCACCTGGCAGATCAAGCCGCCCAAGCCATAACATTAAAAGCAGCCGTCGTGAGATTTATCTTGGCCCACAGCCGTACATCGTGGTGGGCTGCCTGGTGAAGGACGCCATCACAACACAGCGGGCAGCCGCGCAGCAGCAGCAAGCGTCTGCTACTGACCAGAAGCAGGAGCGCCACTGCCTGCATGCCATGATACAAGAACCCTGCCAATTCCTCTGCTGCTACTCACCCAAAAGTGCAAAAGTAAAGGCAGCCACAGTTGCAACTCGTTTTCGAGGGATTGTCAATCCCACCCACCAGGCGTCAACTGAAGGATTGCTGTGTTACAAGTGGGCCTACAGCAGGGTACACTGATGGAGGCGGGAGAGCAGGGAGAAGTGCAAAAGCCGGACTGCGAGCGCGGGATGCGCAGGAATAATATGGCTCAATTGACTTGGGTGATGAAATGGTGGCACAAAGAGGTTGAAGAAGGAAATCTCCGGAATCATCAGAGCAGCGGGGAGCACAGGAGAGGAGGAGAGGAGGAGAGCACAACAGAGGGCAAGATGTAGGCGGAGTGAAAAAATGCCAGCAGAAAGCAGTGCACTGAAAAAGGCGGTTCTGAGGGCGGCTCGCATGCTGCCATGGTGCACTGCACAGCGGCAGCAGCCGGCTCTGCACAGCGGCAGCAGCAGGCTGCGCGCGAGTCCCCGGGAGCCAACGCCATCAGTCAATGTGTGTCCGTTCATGCAGCCCGCCACACACGGTGCGCCAGTGGCCTGGCGGCCCCGACAAACCGCGCGCGCGGCGGCGCTGGCTGGTGTGGGGCCGGGCGGGGCCCTACTGCAGCAGGGTCTCGCGTGTGGGGATGACCCTGGACGTCTTCCGCCAGTAGTCGATGGCCCTGGCCACGCCGCTGCCGGGCGTCAGCGCCACGCCCGCATCCAGCAGCGCCATCTCCGCGCCGCACAGCGCGCTGGACAGCATCAGCTCATCCATGTTACCCAGGTGGCCGATGCGGAACACCTTGCCCTTCACGTCGGCCAGGCCGATGCCCAGGCTCAGGTTGTACCTACGGGGGTGGGTGGGGAGGCACAAGGGAAGGTGAGCGAGCAGCGAGTTGGCAGGGGGCAGGGAAGTGGATGCGTAGATGCGTGGCAGCGCCGCGGTTGGCGTGCCAGTCGTGCTGCTGCTGCATCCCCGGCATCAGCCAGTCACAACCTAGCACTGCCAGCCACAGCCAGGCAGGCAGGCAGCGGCAGGGCTCACTTCGCGTACGCCACGTCCACCACCTTCTGCGAGTCCACGCCCTGCGGCACCTCGATGACCGTCAGCGAGTCCGACTTCCAGCGCGGCTCGCGGCACAGCGTCTGCAGGCCCCAGCCCTCCACCGCGGCGCGGCAGCCCTCGGCCAGGCGGTGGTGGCGTGCCGCCACGGCGGCCATACCGCCCTCCTCTCGCATCAGCGCCAGGCTCTGCTCCATGCCGTACAGCAGCGGCAGGATGGGGGTGTACGGCACGTTGCCGCTGGGGTTGGTGCGCAGCATGTCGGCAAAGTCGTAGTACACGCGGCGGCTGGTGGCCGTCTTCATGGCCGCCAGCGCCTTGTCGCTGGCGCACACCATGGCCAGGCCGGTGGGGATGGACAGCGCCTTCTGGCTGCCCGTCACAGCCACATCCACGCGCCACTGGTCAAACTGCGCTCCAGGCGGGCGGGGAGGGGAGGCAGATGGGGGGATCAGCAGCAGCAGGGCGATGGACAGCAGGCAGCGCAACCGAGCGGCCCGCGGCAGCAGCAGGCACTGCAGCTGCTCTGCTGCCCAGGGGCAGCAGGCCGCTGCTATGTGGCCCAAGCTCAGGGGCCCAAGCTCAGGGCCGGCAGCAGCCCACCTGGAAGTCCAGGGCGCCGATGGAGGAGACGCCATCCACCAGCAGCAGGGCGGGGTGGTTGAAGGAGTCCATGGTCTTGCGCACCTGCAGGCGGGCAGGTGGGCAGGCGGGCAGGCACCGTGTTGGCTGGCTGGCTGCCCAACGACATCAAGCCAGCTGGCAGCCCATGTGGCACCACGCCACGAGTGCTCCTGCCCGTGTGTGCTGCTGTGACTGCCCGTCCTCCCTCCCTTGATTTTCCCAGCACCACCTCCAATACTCGGAAGCCGCCCAGCCGCCGCAGGCGCCAACACACATGCTCCGCGGGCCCACCCCAAGCCCCAAGGCGGGCGCCAGCGCAGCCGCGGGGGCGGGCGCACCTCTGGTATGTCAGAGGTCACGCCTGTGGTGGTCTCGTTGTGCACCACGCACACCGCCTTGATCTTCTTGTCGGCGTCCGCCTTGAGCACCTCTGCCAGCTTGTCCTCGTACGCGCCGTCGCCCCACCGCCCCTCAATCACCGTCACGTCCAGCCCCAGGCGCTGCATCATGTCGATCCACAGGTGGGAGAAGAGGCCGTAGCGGAAGGTGACCACCTTGTCGCCCGGGGACAGCGTGTTGGTCAGCGCCGACTCCCACCCGCCGGTGCCGGTGCCCGGGAAGATGATGGTGGTGCCGTCGGTGGTGCCAAAGATCATTTTCAGGTCAGACAGGCACTTCTTGTAAAAGTCGGCAAACCAGGGGTCGCGGTGGTTCTGCCCCGGCACGTGCATCGCGCGCAGCACAGATTCGTGGATGTTCACGGGGCCCTGTGGATGCAGGCGGGTCGGGGAGAGGAGGGATCACGGACCAAGGCATGTTGCCTGGATGGCATGTGCAAGGGCGACAGAGGGCGGGGCCGTGCATGGGCATGGCTAGTGGGCTGGGAAGGAAGGCTCACCGGCACGTAGAGGTGGTTGCGGCCAGCTGGTGTGTGGCTGAAGGGCGCAGGTGAGGATGCGGCATTGCTGAAGGCCTGCGCAGGGATGGGGAACAGAGGAGACAAACTAGGTGTCGGAAGGTGGTAGGCACCGCCGCCGCTCGCCGCCGCTGGCACTGGCTGCCCTTCCGGGATGCTGCTGGATCGCTCATTGCCTCAAGAAGTGTGCCAGTAGCACCACAGTGGGCCCAGGCTGCTCGGCAGGGCTCCACCCAGCGCCTGAGAGCGCGCTGGTCAGGGTTGCTGCTGGGGTGCTAACCTCCTCCACTTCCGCCGGCAGGCTGCTGAAGACCCGGGCAGCAGAGCTGCTGAGCAGTGCGCGCCCCTGCAGGCGTGAGGCAACCCTGTGCAGCATATCTACGATGGAGGCAGCGATCGAGGGGCCAGAGACGTGGTGTTGGCTGCAGGGTGAAGGTCCAATGCAGGCGAGGCGACAATGGCTGCGAATTGGCTCCAGCCATCAAACCTCCCACAGCGCGCCATCGCCAGCTCGGACGGATGGCTTTGCCACTTCAACTCACACGCATTGCCCTCCGCTTGATCGCGCCATCTCGCAACCATGAGACGCCGCGCAGCCTCCGTTGTGGGGGCCCGGCTGGGCGTCCTGGTGAGCTCCGCCGAGCAGCAGGCGGGGTTGGCCACCACCAGCAGCGGCGGCCTTTTCGGCACCGCAGGGCGGCTGCCAGGCGCTGGGGCCCGAGTGGGTGGTGCGGGACAGGCGCGAGCTGCGGCGGCGGTGCCCGCTGCCACTGCCGCCGTCAAGGTGCAGCCCAGCCTCCTGCCGCTCACCAGGACGGACGAGTTTGGGGCGGTCAGCATTCTGGAGAGCGAGGCGGAGGCCAGTTTCGTGCCTCAGACGTTTGAGAATGTGGATGGGCGCCGCATTGAGGACGGCCGCTATGCCGCCTTCACCAAAGACCTGACTGGTGAGGCTGGCAGCATGGGAGTGGACCGTTGGTGGGAGTGTGTTGCGGGTCCCACGGGCCCACCTGCTATCCGCGTCGACAGCTGTGGCTGCCAGGGGCAGGAATTTCTGTCCCTGAGCCCTAGTTGGTTGGCTGCTTGGTGCTGTGACAGGAAGAACCCCTGCTCAGCAGCCCCTCGTGCCCAGCCGCGACGTCCGCCTGCCCGGGCTGCTGGTGCCACTCCCAACCCTCCTCGATTGCTGCCTGGCCTGCAGAGGTGGCGGGAGTTCCGGCCACGCGCCAGTTCACAGACAAAGTGCGCACGTTTGCATACGGCACAGATGCGTCCTTCTACCGCCTCAACCCCAAGATGGTGGTCAAGGTGCGGCCCTGAGGGTAGCAGCCAGCAGCATTCTTGTTTGCTAGCGATGTCACACGTGCTACACCTTCTTGCCTGCTGCTGCTTGCTGATGCTGCGCTTGCTGCTTTCCATTCCCTACCTGCCATAGCTACCATGCCTGGCTGCCGCGAAGAAAACTCAGTTTTGCTGCCGGCCCTTCTCTCCCCCTTCCCTGATCTCTCCCACAGATCCACTCTGAGGAGGAGGTGCGCAAGATCCTGCCCCTGGCCCTCAAGCACCAGGTCCCGGTCACCTTCCGCGCGGCGGGCACCTCCCTCTCCGGCCAGGTGTGCAGTGCAGTGCAGTGCAGTGCAAGGCCAGCCCAGTGGAAGCAGCTCGCTTCTGCAGGGCGCCGCTGCCCTTGTGACTGCCTGCCAGTCTGTTATCAGGCTCGTCCCTGGTCCCTCCCTCCCTCCGTCACGCCCTGCCAGCCGCCATGCTGCCCACCACCCCGCCCCGTGCTGCCTGTGCCCCTCTGCCCCGCCAGGCCCTCACCGACTCGGTGCTGCTCAAGCTGAGCCACACGGGGCGCAACTTTCGGAGCTACACCGTGCACGGCGACGGCTCCACCATCACCGTGGAGCCGGGCCTGATTGGCGGCGAGGTCAACCGCATCCTGGCGGCGCACAAGTCCAAGGGCAAGCACCCGGTGCAGTACAAGATTGGGCCCGACCCCTCATCCATCGACTCCTGCATGGTGGGCTGCCTGGACTGGGCCGCTCTGCGCTGTGCTGCCCTGACCTGCTCCAGTTGTTGAAATGGGGCCGAGCCGGGGCTCTGGGGTGGGCTGGGCGCTGGGATGACCTTGCTGGGGGCCTGGCCAGGGCCCCTGGTTGGATTTTTACTCATACTTTCTTGGTGTGTGCAGGTCGGTGGCATAGTGTCCAACAACTCCTCGGGCATGTGCTGCGGTGTATCTCAAAATACCTACCATACGCTGAAAGACATGAGGATCGTGTTTGTGGACGGCTCAGGTGAGCAGCCAGGTGGTTAGGTGGGACGCATCGCACGAGAGCACGGCACCCGTTGGGCATGTCGTGCCCGCTGGTACCCACCTGCACCTGTGCCCCCTTCCTACCCACCCTCCTGGTGCAGTGCTGGACACGGCCGACCCGGCCAGCCGGGCCGCCTTCCTGCAGAGCCACTCCAAGCTGGTGGAGGGTGTGGTGGCTCTGGCCAAGCGCGTGCAGGCCGACCGCCAGCTGGCCAACCTCATCCGCCGCAAGTTTGCCATCAAGTGCACCACAGGCTACTCGCTGAACGCGCTGGTGAGGCGGCAGCGGGCAGGCAGTGGCGCAGCGACTCAGCCCCATGCCCCTCCCTCTCACTGCGCTCTACCCCTGAGCCTGACGAGCCACCCCTGCCGCCCGCCCTGTGCTCCCCCTGCCAGGTGGACTTCCACACCGACGACCCGATTGAGATGATCAAGCGGCTGATGGTGGGCAGCGAGGGCACGCTGGGCTTTGTCAGCCAGGTCACCTACAACACAGTGCCCGAGTGGCCCCACAAGGCCTCCGCCTTTGTGGTGTTCCCAGACGTCATGTCCGCCTGCCAGGGCGCCTCGGGTGGGTGGGTGCATGGTGGCTGGGAGTCTGGGGTGGTGCAGGGCCTGGCGGGGGTGGTGCTGCTCCAGCCAGCCCATCCTTTCTGTGGCTACCTGCTTTTGTGGGCAGCCTTTGCCGGCGCTGGCCTGCCGGCATCCCATGCCCTGAGCAGCTGCCCACGCATCCACCATGGCACAGCCCGCGTCGACACGCCGACTGATGTCAACCCATGCCGGTCCGCTCACGTCCTCCCCCCTGCAGTGCTGCGCGACCAGACCAGCGTGGATGCAGTGGAGATGTTTGACCGCGCCTCGCTGCGGGAGTGCGAGTCAAACGAGGACATGCTGCGCCTGGTGCCAGACATCAAGGGTGAGGAGCAGGGCGGGGTGGGTGGGTGGGTATGCGGGTGTCGTGGTGCAGGGTGGGCCAAGGCACGCGGGCTGGCTGGCTGTTGGCTGGACGGCCGGCACGTGAGGTCTGCCTCGCTATTTCGTGGCACCTGCCCTCCACCTGCTGTGCGCTGCAGGCGCCGACCCCATGGCTGCCTCGCTGCTCATTGAGTGCCGCGGCTCGACCGAGGAGGACCTGGCTGCTCGCATCGAGGAGATCCACGCCGCGCTGCGCAAGAGCGGGCTGCCGTTTGGCGCTAAGGCTGCAGGTGCTCGTGGGGCGGGTTGCTGGGCGCTGGCAGCGGCCGCCTGCGGGTGGTGGGCTGCCCCTGGCAAGACGGGCGGGAAGGGTCAGCCACAGGCTGCACCCACCCGCCGGAAGCCCGGCCTGGCTGGCCATCCACCACAGGATGCTTCACGACTTTTTTTTTTGCCCCTTTTGCTGCCCTCACTCACTCTCTGCCAAGCCCCCGCCTGCAACTTCTGCTCACCTGCTTGCCTGGCCTGCCTCCCGCCACCCCCACCCCGCCTGCCCCTCAGAGCCCCAGCCCCTGGAGGCCTACGAGTTCAAGCACGACCCCAGGGACTTCAAGGTGTTCTGGGACGTGCGGCGCGGCCTCATCCCCATCGTGGGCGCCGCCCGCAAGCCGGGCACCTCCATGCTGCTGGAGGACGTGGCATGCCCCGTGGACAAGTGAGGCGGCGGCAGCGCGAGCATGCAGCAGCGCAGCGCAGCGCAGTGCGGCGGGGGGCCCGCGCCCCCCGCGGCGCTGCTTTGGTGGCAGGACTGCCGTGCAGCGCTCCCTGCCCACCTGCTTGCTTGCTGCCCTCCTCTGGCCACATGCCGCCGTTTCTCGGCCAAGCCCTCTTGCCACCGACCACCGCCGCCCATCGACTCCTTCCCCCCCTCTGCCGCGCCAACCGCTCTGCTCCCCGTCCCTGTCTTCCTTGTGCCACCCGCAGGCTGGGCCAGATGACGGTCGACCTGATGGACATGTTCCAGCGCCACGGCTACGACGACGCTTTCCTCTTTGGCCACGCCTTGGAAGGCAACCTGCACCTGGTCTTCTCCCAGGGCTTCCGCACCCCGGAGGAGCTCACCCGCTTCCACACGATGTTTGACGAGCTGTGCCACATCGTGGCCACCAAGCACAGCGGCAGCCTCAAGGGCGAGCACGGCACGGGGCGCAACGTGGCGCCCTACGTGGAGATGGAGTGGGGTGAGCTGGGCCGCGCACACACGTGGGGGCCGGCCACGCACCCGTTGCGGCTGTGTTGCTGTGGCTGTCGTCGTGCGGAGGTGCGGCAAGCGCGTGCGTTTGCAGAGATTGCAAGGGCCCCGAGCTGTGCTGCCCACCCCCACCCCCCTGGCGCCGCCGCCTGCAGGCACCAAGGCCACAGAGCTGATGTGGGAGCTGAAGGAGCTGTTTGACCCAGACTACATCCTCAACCCGGGGGTCATCCTGAACAAGGACCCGCTGGTGAGGCGGGTCGCGCTGAGCTGGCAGGCCGCGCTGAGCTGGCAGACCGCTTCCAGTGGCGCCTGCATGCATGCCTGCCAGGGCTTTCGGCACGGTTGCGGAATCGGCGAAGCAGCAGCGGAGAAGCAGCAGGGTGAGGCAACCGTGTGCCCTCCCCTGCCCCCGCTGCCCCGCCGCAGGTGCATGTCAAGAACCTGAAGCCCAGCCCAGCCGCCAACCCGCTGGTCAACCGCTGCATCGAGTGTGGCTTCTGCGAGTCAAACTGCCCCTCCAGGTGGGTGCTGGGGACAAGGGGGGGATGGCGCTGAGGAGCAGAAACACGGGGCAAGGGGCAGGGCCACGAGGGGTTGGCGGTGGCGCCCCCAGGCTGCTCTTGATCTGCACTTCTGCACTCCTTCGCCCACAGACACAGCCAGCAACCCTTTCATGCTGTGGGGCGCCCCTCTGGCCTGCCACCCCTTGCTGACCTCCTTGCGTGCCTGCCTCCGTGCCCGCCGCCCTGCCCCGCCTTGCCCTGCAGGGACATCACGCTGACTCCTCGCCAGCGCATCGCCGTCTACAAGGAGCTGTTCCGCATGCGCAGCATCGAGAACCGCACCGCGGCGCAGCAGCAGCGGCTGGACGAGATGGCCCAAATCTTCGAGTATGACGGCCAGGACACGTGTGCAGCAGGTGGGTGTGGCGGAGGTGCACCCAGCTGGGCTGCTTCATGGGGCGGTTTCATGCTATCGTGTGGATGATACGGGCAGGGCAGGGCAGGGCAGGGCAGACAGCAGGCCGGTATTGAGGTTGTGCTGGATGGGCTGGGCCGGGGCCACCCTCCCTCCCACTGGGGCTTTGCCCAGCTGTTGCCTCGTCCATCCCGCCGCCACCTCAACGCATGCGCCCCTCACCCATCTGCCTTCTCCCCCTGCGAGCAGACGGCATGTGCCAGGAGAAGTGCCCCGTCAAGATCAACACTGGGGAGCTGATCAAACAGCTGCGCAGCGACGAGATGGCAGAGGCGCGGCGCGCGTCCGGGCTGGCCATGGTGCGCAGCTGCTTGGGCTCACTGCCCCTGAGCACATCACACCTGACCATAAGTTTGACCAAAATGTTTGCCTGGCTTTGGTTGTTGAGCTGGATGGTCTGTTGAGTTGGGGAATCGTGCAGCCGCTGCCTGCGCCCCACCCCACATCATCCCGCCGTTGCCTGCTCCTCATCCTCCCTTCCCTCTGCACGCTCCCTCCCCTGCAGACTGTGGCAAACAACTTCTCCACCACAGCCTGGGCCTTCAACAAGCTGCTGAATGTGGTCAACGTGGCTCACAGCGTGCTGGGAGCAACGCCCATCAAAGCCATCAGCTCTGCCCTCAACAAGGCCACGGGGCACATGGTGCCAGAGTGGAATCCTTACATGCCCAAGGTGAGCGGCTTGGCTGCAGCAGCGTGGCAGCAGCAGTGGGCAAGGCCAGTACTGGCTGGCGCCTCGTGTGCTTGGCTGGCAGGCGGGCTGCCTCGGCAAAGCCTTCCCCGGCCTCGCCTTGAAAGAAAACACGCGGCGCCTGTGCTGCAGGGTGCGGCGCCGCTCAACATGAACCCGCCCAAGCCTGCGGCGGCGGAGCGGGGCGTGCCGCGTAAGGTGGTGTATGTGCCCGCCTGCGTCACACGCATCATGGGGCCCTCCAAGGGAGACTACGAGACGGGTGAGTGGGCATTGGACTAGGGGCTGGCCTTGTCACGTCGCAATGCTGGCTGCTTGGCCTGGGGGAGTCCCGGTGGTCGCTTGCTGCGGCGTGCCAGCCACCCTGCTGCCCACCACTGTTCGCCTGCCGCCTGCCCCCGCCTCGCAGCCCCTGTGCACGAGAAGCTGCTGTCGCTGTTCAACAAGGCGGGGTACGAGGTGGTGTACCCAGAGGGCCTGTCCGCCAGGTCAGAACCCGCTGCCTTGCTTTCTTGCTTGCTGGCTGGCGTGTCGCACCCTGCCATGTGATGCATGCTTCGCTGCCCTCCTGCCCCATTGCATGCCAGCACCCCGGTTCCTCTTGCAATTTCCTCCGCCACACCACACACACACATACAAGCAGCAGCACCACACACACAAACCACCCCCTCGCTTCCCCTGCAGCTGCTGCGGCATGATGTTCAACTCGCGCGGCTTCAAGGACGCGGCCGCCAAGAAGGGCTCTGAGCTGGAGGCGGCGCTGCTCAAGGCCAGCGAGAATGGCAAGTGGCCCGTGGTGTGCGACACATCGCCCTGCCTGGCGCAGATCAAGTCGGGGCTCAGCGACCCGGCGCTACGGTGAGGCTTGTCTTTTATTTGTTTGCGTGTAAGGTGTTGTGAGCTTGTGTGTATTTTGTTTTTATTTCGTGAGTTTGTTCTGGTGAAAACCTGCATGCAACTAGTTCCCTGCATCGCCATGCGGCCCACCCACTGCCCGTACCGCTTGCAGTTTCTCGCTGTACGAGCCTGTGGAGTTCATCCGCCACTTCCTGCTGGACAAGCTGGAGTTCTCAAAGGTGGGGGGGGCGGGCGGGCTCTCTGTTCCATGCTATGGTGTTTGTCGGGCGTGCATCGGCACGGGCGTGTGGGTTTGCGCTATGCGCAGTCAGCCATCAACCTGCCTGTGCTGCCCTGGTCCCCACCCCCCTTCCGCAGGTGCGCGACAACATCGCGGTGCACATCCCCTGCTCCTCCAAGAAGATGGGCATCGAGGAGACCTTCATGAAGGTGGGTGGGTGGCGGCGGGCAGCGTGTGGGAAGTGTAGAAGCAGCTGTGGAAGTTGGGATGCTTTGGCATGCATCCTGTGAGAGTGGGCTCAATGGCAACGCACACAGCGCCAGTGCACACTCTTGGATGTCTCAGCTCCTTGTTTCCCGCTCGACGGCTCCAGCCACCCCCTTGCCCTCCTGCCGCTGCGCAGGTGGCGTCAATGTGCGCGGAGAATGTGGTCAACACGAACGTGCCCTGCTGCGGCATGGCCGGCGACCGCGGCATGCGCTACCCCGAGCTCACCGGCGCCTCGCTGCAGCACCTCAACGTGGGCGGCTGCTCCGACGGCTACTCCACCAGCCGCACCTGCGAGATGAGCCTGAGCAACCACTCAGGCATCAACTTCCGGGGGTTGGTCTACCTGGTGGACGAGGCCACCCAGCCCAAGGCGGCAGCTGCTGCCGAGAAGCAGGCATGAGGCACGCGACGCGCCGCCAGCCAGCCACCGATTTTGGGTATGTAACGGATGAACGCTAGCTCCCACAGCCCTCCACTCGGCACGCCGCCGCCGCGGAGGCCGGCTGCCCACCCCCAACGCCCTCCCACGCCCCCTCCAGTGCCAGCACTTGAAGGGCAGTTTTTGATCTCCACCCCCTGTTGGTCCATCACCATGCAGCAGCCTGCTTGTTGTGTTGCTTTGGCACCGCGCGCCCTGCGCCTGCGGCGCTCCTGACGCGGCGGCCCCCATCAGCACTGCTCTCTTTCATCCATTGCCTGATTCCAATGGATATTTCATCCGCAGGCATGATGCCTAACCTAATGTGTGCTCTCCCCACTGTGAAATCTCTTCTTTAGCTAGCCAATTCCATTACCGGTTAAAGCAGGAAGTGCGCAGCATTGTTTACGCACGCTGTCATCTCTCATGAAGCATGCATATCAGCAAGCAGGAGCTCCAGCCCCGGGACTGGCGTGCCAGCCAGCTGCAGCGTCGTCAGTGCGCAGGCAGCGCCGTCAGTGCTTGGGCCCTTAGTGCTTGGGCCGATGGTGCGCCTTCTTCTTGCGCTCGTTGCTCGTCTTGCGCCCCATCTTCTTCTTGCTCCAGTACTGACGCTCCTCCTGCAGCTTGGCGTGCCGCTTCTTGCGCATCTGCGGGCAAAGGTGGGCAGCCAGAGGATCAAAAGCCATCAAAAGCAATAACAAATCAAATGGTTGGCAACAACAAGAATGGTTGGAATTGGCCACATCCCAGCCTCAGCACGAGGGCAGCCCTGCCGCTGCTGCAGACCCTGCCCCACGCCCATGGCCCGCCAATCACACAGCCTGCGCGCCAGCTGCTGCTGCCCCCTCTGAATTGTCGTCCCCTCCGCAGCTGCCCCTCCAGGTCAAATGCGACTCCCCGACAGCTCACCTCTGCCAGCTGCTCGTCCGCCATGATCTCTTCTGTGAAGGTGCGCTTGCGCTGCTTGTTGGTCAGCCGGCCTGCAGGCGGCGGCGGCAGGGGCAAGGGCAGAGGAGCAGGGCCGGGGCAATGCGTGTGAGCACGGCCGCATCGCAGAAGATAGCCGGTGTGGGACGGCGGCTGGCGCCGTGTCCCCCTGCAGTGTACACCGCCGCGCCCACCCCAAGGCAGAGGCTGGGCGTCCCCCATGCACCCACCCGAATAGAAGTCTGCCGCGCCCTCCACCACCGTGCCCATCTGGAAATACTTGGGGAACTTGGTGGAGTCGAGCTTCTTGTAGAAGGACTTGGGGTCCAGGGCACCCCTGCCGGGAGTAGGACCAGCAGGAGCAAGAGTGGGGGAGGCAGGACACGATACGGCGAGGGGACTGTGCAAGAGCTGGGCAAGCGCGAGCACAAGGCAGGGCAGCGCACCTGAGGCGCAGCAGGCGCAAGTCCCTCTTGACCTCATCCGTGATTTGTGTGGCAGGCAGGTCGAACCAGGCGGCCCCAGCGGTGTCAGGGGCCGCCTTGCGCGCCGCACGGTGCGCGGCACGCTCGTCTGGCGGCGGCACGTGCAGGCTGTCGGCTTGCTTGCCCTTGCGCACCACGTGCACTCCTGCCGCCATTGCCGCCGCCGCCGCGGCCGCAGGTTCGCCGCGGCCCGGCTGTGCTGCTGGCTGATTGCTGCTGCCCGGCATGCCGGGCAGCGTCAGCTCGGGCCGCCAGCGCAGGTGGCGTGGAACGTGGTCACGCCCCGCCCGCCCCTCGCCCTCGCTGTCGCTGTCGCTGCCATCGCTGCTGCTGCTGTCTGCTTGCGCCGCCGCCCGGTCCTGCTGCCTGTCAGGCCTGGCCGCTGCCCCGCCCTCCTCCTGGGCATCACCTGATTCCTCATCAGAGCCGCTGGTGCTGCTGCCGCCCTCACGCTCCCCGAAAGCGCCGTTGAGTGCGGCAAACATCTCCTCTGCCAAAAGATCCACCAGCGCTACACGCGCCTTGAGTGGCTGCAGACCTGCCTTTTCCTGCTCCTCTTCCTCCTCCTGAGGCTCTTCTGCTGCTGCGGGGCTGGCCGCCCCAGCGGCTGGCGATTTGGGCGAGGCTGCAGCGGAGCGACGCCGGCCCCGCTTCGCAGGCTCCTGGCTACCTGGTGCTGCTTCTTGCTGCTGCTCAGCCTGCTGCTCCTGCACGTCCCCCTGCTGCTCCTGCTCCTCTATGATAGCCCTCAGCCGTCGTGTCCGAGCAGTGCGTGGTGGCGCCTGTTCCGCCGTTGGCGTCGCCGCCGTGCCGCTGCTCCTCAGGCGTCCGCTGCGTCTTGGCGTCGGCGCCACGCTGCTCACCTCGCCATGGCTGGCGGCTGTGTCACCGTGCGCCGCCTCAGCGCTGAGAACGGACTGGCTTCGGGTGCTCACCATGCCGCTCACTGCAGTGCGGCCTGCATGCACTATGTGCAGGTGCTTCGCGTGTCGGTGGGTATGCTGCAATCAGCCAGGGGGCGTTGGGAGATGCAGGCTGTGGGTTTCAATGCTGCTGTGGAGCGCAGCACTGATAGCTGGCAAGCGAAAGGCAGGCTTGCCGATTTTGCAATATTGCTGCAGTTTTTATCGTCATTTGCAATCGGAAGGGCCTGACGCCCTCTGCACTTTCACTGCCGCAGCCGCAGCGCTTCTCTGGAAGCAGGCAGGGCCTCACCACCGCCACCACCATACACCTAATAGCGCCTCAACAGCCTGCCCGTTGTCTCCCAAGTTCGCGCCGCGCCTCGCCCCGCCGCCGCCGCAGTCCACCACCTGCCGCCACCGCCACATCGGCTACAGCACGAACGCACACAATGAGTCAAGGGGTCTTCCAACCAATTGGCAAGTGGACTAGCACTTGGCACGGCAGCGCCTCCATTGTTTATTGCAGGCTGCAAGCATGGCCGCCCCCGCGCCCGCCACCGAGCCCCACGCTATGCGCACCGCTGCTGCAGGCCAGAAGCGGCTCACCAACATTGCGGTGGTGCGCATGAAGAAGCATGGCAAGCGGTTTGAGATCGCCTGCTACAAGAACAAGGTTGTCAACTGGCGCAACGGCGTGTGAGTGGCACAAGTGGCTCGCCGGGCTGGGACGGGTGTTGGCGGCAGGCAGGCGCCTATCCTGTGGTGGAGGACAAGCGTATGGGCAGCAGCATAAGGGCCGCTCCCACTTTCACGCCATGCTTCGGCTGGGCAGCGCCTTGCCCTCCTCCCCTCCCCCATGCGCCCTCCCACTTGCTCCCCCACCTCCACCTCCCTCCCCCTCCTCACCGTTCCCCCCTGCCCCCCCTCCCTCTCCCTAC